CAAATCAATTCAGCCGAGCAGTAAAAAATTAATGTAATGCCGGGCAGTGAAATTTTTTCAGGATATGAAACCTTAATATCCAGTACATGTAACCATGAAAAAAAACTTGATTATTTGATAGAGACTTTATCAAAAATTTGAATTGTATATTTCAATCAAAAAAAGTATAAAAAAATTTAAAAAAAAGTTTTTTATTTAAGTCCTGAAAATTTCACTAGGAAACTTTTAACAGTTTTTTTACAATTAATTTTTTAATTAAAAGTGAGAAAAATCTTTGTTACAAAAAAACTCTGGTAACTGTAATTAAAATTAAAAAAAAATATTTTAAGAAAATATTGTTACTAATGACTACTAACGATTGATGAATAAAAATTTAGTGGAAAATGGAGGGTCCACTTGACGTGATCTGACTCAAAAACAACAAAAACAATGAATAAACTTTAAACTTTATAAAACAATATAACCACAATAAAGCGTTATAACCATGGTTATTCATTGTTTTTGTTGTTTTTGCAATAATTGTATTATTATTATCAGTGCACTGATCTACTATATAATAAAATTCGTATCTTAAATTTGATCATGCAAAAATATAAAAATGTCAAACTTACCTTTGGAATTCCTGGCTAGCAACTTAAGTATTTATTGAACTGAATACCTATATATTATAAAACTGAAAAACTGAACCAAGATATATCTTGTATACATCCACCTTGAAACTGAACGTTTATCTCAGAACCATAGAAAAAGGATATGAACTGAACGACGTTCAGTGAACGTTTTACCGGTATACAGGATATCTAGCTAGATGTTTACCATATATGGTATTCTACACAATGTGTGGATTGTGGTATTCTATAGAAAACCTCGTGGCTCTTAGCTGCGTACGCACACTAACGCTGCAGTGTTGCCGGATGGCAGCCGGATGATTTTTATGAAAGTTCCCGATCAAAAATTACAAAATAATAGAAATTACCCACACGAGTAAAAATTTCTAGTACATTTGCTCATTTGGAAAAGTGAATTAAATATTGAATAAATTAAGAGAAAAATAAAAGGATGGAATTAAGGAATTATGTTTAGTTAGTAGTTATACAATATTATTTACTGAAAATTTCTTTGAAAAGTATTTTGGTCGAAATTTATAAAATACCTCCTTCAATATTTTACTTGCAAGCATGATGAAATACGCGATTTTCGGGTCAAATACCTGCAAGCGGCAACCCTTCATGCTGGTTATTTAGTTGAAATGTGACGGCCATAGGCGATTGCGCACGAGTGCCCGCGTATTTGGTTTTGCAATTATTATATATAATTATAATTAATAATTATTATACCTATATAGGTACCTATAGGTATATTAAATATTATTAATTGATATTAATTAAAAAATGTACTTTTTTATTTTCCGTTTAATATTTAATAAAAATCTTTAATTAATATTCCTTTAATGTTATGTTTTCTTTTTCTTATTTCGAATTCGGTCTTCAAATTTATTTTGATAGGGTAGGTATACCTTCCCTGTCAAAATGAGGTATAGCTAACCTATCAAAATAAATTTGAAGATCTTTAATTAAACGTGCTAACAGATCTGTATAAAATCTTGGAGATTCACGGCGTGCGTCCGGTGTAAATTAAATGTGCATAACAAATGTTATCTGTGAACTTACGGTGAATTCACGATGCATTTAATTTTGAAGATTCACGGCGTGCGCCCTATGTGAATTAAATGTGCATTACAAATGTTATCTGTGAACTCACGCTGAATTCACGATGCATTCAATTTTGAACATTCACGGCGTGCGCCTGGTAGTAGTTTAATGTGCATTCATGAATGTAATTTGGAAACTCACAGTGGATTCACAATGCATTCATTTTTAAAGATTCAGGGCGTGCGTCCGGCATGAATTATATGTGCATTAAAAATATTATCTGCGAACTCACAGTGAATTCACGATGAATTCATTTTTAAAGATTCACGGCGTGCGTCCTATGTGAATTAAATGTGCATTACAAATGTTATCTGTGAACTCACGGTGAATTCACGATGAATTCAATTTTGAAGATTCACGGCGTGCGCCCGGTGTGAGTTTAATATGCATTCACGAATGTTATCTGGGAAGGACTACTGGGACGGTCGACTTTAGGGCCACAGAACAAACGACCCCATATAACAAGGCAGCCAACCACTGATATATCAGTGCATTGTCAAAATAAACTTCCTTCTATCCTCAAATCTTATTTAATTGTTGCTTATGCGAAATCAAGGTGCAGTGACCCACACAATAACCTTTTTCCCCGGTTATTCCATCTAGAAAACGATTAACCGGTTAAACCGTAGTTTCAAAATAACCTGAAATAACCGGTTAACTGCAAGAAGAATTACCGGTTATTGCAATAACCGGTTACTTTTGCCCATCCCTACTACACTGCCCGTCAAAATTAACGCATAATAAGTAAAAATTCTAACTCTTAAACGCCTTTACCAATCTTTATTAAATTTTGTATAAAAATACTTTAAATTGTATCTCAGTTTACGTGTTCGGCGGTTTATATGCTGTTAAAGACCGTATTTTTGTTAGTATTAATTTTGTACAAATCAAACGAACAGTAACGAAGATACAGCGCTTCAAAGTCGGTAAAAATGACCCCTTATATTACTGAAAAGTAGTCATTTTTGACGACTTTGAAGCGCTGTATTTTCGTTACTGTTCGTTTGATTTTTATAACATTTTCAGGGTATACTTACAAAAATACGGTCTTTTGCATAATAGTTTTTATTTACAAAAAAAAAATTATTATAAAAAAGTTTTTTTTCGAGCGTTTTTTATTATTAAATAAAAGGGCTTTAAGGATATTTTTTCGAAAAACCTTTGAACACGTAAACCTAGATATAAGTTGAAGTATTTTTATACAAAATTTCATAAAGATTGGTAAAGGCGTTTTAGAGTTATATTTTTTTTACTTATTATGCGTTAATATTGACGGGCAGTGTATATAATAATTGGCTCGGTTATCGCGATACCAGAATAATTTCCGTCTCAAACAGAGTTGCCAGATTGGGCTATTTATAGCCAATTGGGCTATCTCTACGTCTTATTTGGCTCTCAAAAATTCCAGACGGCTACAGGCTACTACTTTGGGCTACATTTTTTGCAAAGGGGCTATAATTGGGCTGCAATTGGTTAAAAGAATATAAATAGACCTTTCCCAATTGATCATGCGCAAAATTTTATAGAGATATTGACACAGAAGAACAACTTCTGTGATATTGATATTAACTTTACGCAACAAAAGAAGAAGAATAAAGTTATTTAGTATTATTTTTATTTAATTGATAGAGATATTGATATATTTTTTCAACACTAGCGGCGGTAATTTCCATGTTTTACCCTTACAATGTTTCAGTGTAAACCAAACAACAAACATAACACCAGCGCCCTCCTATTTTGGGAAATCATTTATATACATGGAGTTCAGACTCTTTTTTCGCCGAGATCTATTTCTCGATCTCGGCGAAAAAAGGCCGAGATTATGGGCCATGGCCGAAACTTCGCAGAACTCGGACATTCAAAGCGCTAAGCATGCGCGACCAAAACGAGAACGAGCTCTGAGTAACCATTACCTTTTTGCTAAGAACGTATTTAAGTATTTAAGTCATTTTAAATGTTAATCTCTTCTGAGTTCACAATGTGAACTTTACATGTAATAAATCTATCGAGCAGATCAATATTTGTTATGTTATACCAATTAGACAAAATAATTGTCATTGACATCTGTCTCGGTCTCGCCCGAGACCATTAACAATTGTTTCTCTATGGCCGAGACTACAAAATCGGGTTCGGTCGAACCTTAGTGCCAATACGGCTACTTTTGGGCTATTTGTATTTATAAGGTTGGCTCTTACTGTCAAAAATATCTGGCAACCCTGGTCTCAAACATAGTCATTTAGAAAAATGTTTTATTTTATGGTCAGATTAGGTAAATTCAGTCGGAAAACTTTTTTTTTTTTAATTTCATAAATTGTTAATACATTTTCAAGACAAATACTAGATATGCGAAACAAATTTTGTACAAATAAGCAAACGATTTGAGTTTCAAGGGTAGGTAGGTATATTTTAAATTTAAAATCTTATCATTTAAATATTAAACACGTATCTATATATTAATTTAATTTTTTTATTTTATTAAAAGCCCAAAAATTTATTTTTTAAGGTCTGGCTATTACCTAGGTAATCTTTTCCAATAATAATTATTTTATTATTTCACCTTGTCACTGACTGATGACTCACAATGACGTCATAGCGTTGTCGAATGACGTAAGTCGTTGACATGTGCTCGATTACGTCATCAAGGGATTGTCCCTATGACCTTTAAATTTGTTATTTCATATAAAGCAAGTGGTAATTTCATTTTTGTCTTATTAAAAAATCAGAAAGCTGGAATAAACGTTTTTGCGTTCGCTATGAAGGACGCCGTTTACGTAAAAACAGAATTATTAATTTATAAATATTTATGTTTGTGCGCCAGTTAAATTTTATTAATACAAGTTTATATATTAAAATGTTACTAAATATGTTAATATGCTCTGTACATAAAGATATACTGATGGATATTTTTTTTCGAACATACATTTAATTAGATAATTGAAATAAAATGTGCATTTTTGGTTGGCACAGAAACCTTTGGTGGAATGTATCGGGCGGAAAGGCACGAGCGGCAAGCGGAAAGCGACGAGCGTCGGTATCGGTCGCCATTGCTGTGACGCGCACTCGTATTCTGTTCCCGGCCAGTGACGACCGCCCAGAAAATTTGACGTGGCTACTACGTATAGCCCTCTTACCCACTCCGATCGCAGCAAAGTTGGTGACGAGAAATACGTAACTGGTAAGTACCCAGCTGAAGAATAATAACAATCCGACATGGTCCAGATCTCCCTTCGAAGGTGCTGAATTAAATAATTAACGTGCAAGTGCTAAATTTACAATGTCCGCGGGTTGTTTAACTACTTTACTGAAAAAGGTATTGAATATGGCGTCATAGTGGTCAAACAGTTTTAAATTTAGATATTGCTCGGTCCAAATTCATCGACTTTATTTTCGAAATTACCATCGATGCTACCGATGATACAGAAACGTGAATTGGATTTGTGAAATTTGTGGTTAGGGTGGTTGTCACATTTGACATGTTGCGTAGTTTTATTTAAAATATCAGTTTATTTTTGCTTTTAAAGGGATCATCATGGTTAGTATGAAAAATTTATATCTATAAAATAAAAACCGTTTACATGATAAAGTTGTTTGGTAAATGCAGTCATAGTAAACAAGCTAATTTATTTAGTTTAGTATAATCTATGGTAAATATAAAATTACACCTACTGAACACAAAACTTACGTTTGCACATTAATTAAAATAATGCTTCAAGTTCAACTAATAATTCCGTATGGAAAAATTACTAATAAATTACTTTATAGAGCCATTAACAACAATACCTTGCTAATTTATAGTTTTTAGGTCATTTTAGATGTTATTTACATAGGTAATTACTTTAATTTCCTATTAATGATATTGTAAGAAAAATGTCTAATTATAGGACCCATAACTGGTTTGTTTAAATATGCTGTGGTAATTGAATTGTATTTAAATAAATAATTTTTTTTAATAAAATTTAACTAGGTATAATACACCTACCATATCATATTTCAAGGGCATGGGCACGTTTTTTATAAAGCTGAAGTAGCAAGGATTGAGAACATTTTATGTAAATTAAGTTTACATGAGTTATTAATTAACTTTTTAACATGAGGATATAGCAGAAATTAACTTTTGGAAGATTTTGTATGTTTACGATTGTTCTTGGTTTAAAAAAAGCATGTTTTAAACATACTGCTCTGCTAAGCTTATAAGCTTATAAGGGGTTATAACCCCTGTATCTGCAATATTAAGTAATAAAGGACAACAGATAATGTTTGTTGTTTTATATTAATTAAAATAATTTTTTGTCCTTTATTACTTAATATTGTACATACAGGGGTTTGGCTTAGCAGGGCAGCATAGTTTGCTACCTCCGTAAACCATTATAAATCCTTTTATAAGTAGTCTTCTCAATCACACTGTAAAACACCTGTGTATTGACACAAAACAAAAGACTCACATCTTGTACTATGCTACACATCGAATAGTCCCACTTTTACTTTTGAATAAGGAATGTGCATTCCTGCATTGACTTCACAGTCAAATAATTAAGAGATTGCAGAAGCATATTTACGTTAATATCGTCTTATTTTCAAAAAATAATAAAACACTTATAAGTCTATCTATAAAGACTAATAATTAGTAATAATATTAGTTCAAAAGTGAAATTATTATTAAACAGTTTAATAATAATTTCACTTTTGAACTAATATTAATATAGTCTTTATAGATAGACTTATAAGTGTATTATTTTTTTTTAAATAAGACGATATTGACGTAAATATGCTTCTGCAATCTCTTAATTTAAACTCTGTACAGAAATAAAGCTAGAATGGCATCATGTCAGTTGAACCTAACCTAAAAATGCTGTGAGAATACATTAAATATTAAAATTAAATGCTTGAAAAGAATAGTACCTATATAAAACCCGGCGGCGAAAGCTTATTAATTGCCTCTCATACAATCTATTGCCTAGGCTATCACCTGGGCAGTGAAATGTGTGCTCGGTTATAATGTGTACTTTCTCTGTCTGGTCCATATTGTACTAATTTTTTTAAAGAGATTTAACGTCGGTCTTCTTCTTTCTGTATTTGTTGGGCTCGGTTTAACGTCAATTTTATCTGACAACTGTCAGACGGGTTTAACCTCACTTTTTCTCAACTTAATGTACTATAATAAATTAGGCAACTTTAAGTTGCCTAATTCATTATATATAGTTCCTTAATAAGGCACTAGTACATTATATTATATTTTCAAGTTTTAAGAAGTGTTTTTTGTTAAAGGTGCCCCAGTACTCAGGCAATGGACGGAATGGTAGAAGAGAACGGTGCAGTTGATCCGTTGTCTACTTCTCCGGACCCCCAGGGACCGATAGCATCTTCGGTAGGGGTTACTAACTCGCAGGGCCATCTGGTGACGGCTACTAACATTGTTCAGCTCACATTGCCGCAAACTCAGGCGCAGGTTTGCACCAAACTGTGCATGAAAATCATACATTTTTTGTTTGTTGTGTTCTAGTAACTTTTACTTCGGAGTTTCTACTTTGTAGGTTTAAAAAAAAATCAAAAACAAACGTTTTTGGGAATGGCTTTGTTTTTCAACCTAACAAAGTAGAAAACTTCTAAAGTGTGCATTATTTTAACCAAATTTTCTCCTTTATCTGAGGCCTTTAATATCTGCTTCACTACTTTTAATATGTGAAATAATTGGATTATAACGGTCAACTAAATACTAGTGCAATTGTGTGAGGTCTGGAGGGCATCTAATAGAGACTGCAGCGACCAATCCAAAGCCCTGGTATCATTTGCTTTAAATATTGCCAAAGTTTGCAATGATGCTATATTTTAAAAATATTTTGTTTACAACTTTATATACAAGGTGTTCGTTTTTTCGAGGCTAAGCATGGGTATCTCTCTTATCTTTAGAATTACCTACATAGTTGGTTAAATTAAAAAGTTGCGCATTTTTACGCCGATCAATGATCCAAAAAGAAATATGACTTGTCATTTTTAATTTTCTCCAGATACCTATCGTAAAAAACGAGAATTTGTAATTTTTATATAAATTTGTATAAACTGCCAAGGTACCTAAGCTTAGCCTCGAAAAACGGACACCCTGTATAGATATAATGAGGGTAAAAGAAGTAGTTTTTTTTCTAAGAAAGTTAATGTTAAAATAATGAATTTTAACGTTTACTTTAAATTCCTTAATAGTTTTCATCTTAATCCAAATTCTATTAGAAAAGATGCAAAATTATAAATACACACAAAATAACTTTTTAGCAGCAAAATGTATATAAAATAATGCGCCTTTTTTATTTTTGGTCAAAGTCGACCATTTATTTTTGCATGATTAGCAGGTTTTTTAATTAAAGTCGGTTTTTATTGTTTCATTTTTACTATTATTGGGTTTCATGTTTTATATTAAATATTCATAGTCTAAACGACAATTTTTAACCTTTGGACAAGTACACTAAAACAGTTTGTATTGTGTAAAAAATGTTTACTAAAAATACATTATTAAAAAAATAATATTAAATAAAACAGATACCTTTGCCAAATGGTTTGTCACTTCTGTACGTTTATAAATATTTTATTATGTACTTATCACTATAAACTATTAACAGTTTTTTTAATGTAAACATGATATTAACGTAGTATTATTAAGCGTCGATTAACATTTAAAACAGATATTTTATTAGAAATAAGTAGTGGGATTTTTTTTCTTCAAGTTAAAATCTCGTTTTTAGATTCACATTCTTAAATTAGTAATTATATTTGTAGGTGCAAAGTGTGATTCAACCAAACACACAATCGGTGATACAGACAGCGGCGAATTTGCAGCCTATGCTAGGAAAAGGCAACGTAATTTTAGTCAGCAAACCGAATTCTGTCATACAAACCACACATGGAAATCTACAAACATTAAGGGTAAGAAAATTATAAAAAACCTAAATTGTTTTCTAATAAATTGGTGTTAAATTTGGAGTAGGTATGTACATGCACATTTAAATAAAAACTGATTCTCAGTTGAAGGTTGCCAAAACTACATAAATTTACTGATTTATGAATCACTTAAACAACTGCAAATGTTCAAATGACGTCAGTAACTATACAGTTTTGTATTGATTACTTTTAAGCTTATTTCAAGTAAAGTAGAAATTTATTAACATAATATTAAATGAAATTTTCTAGAAGAAATATTTTACATTATATTATTTATGTTGGATATAATAATCATTACTTTAAACTTAATTATTTTTAAAAACACACTTCATATTAAGATAAAATACGGCCATTTTACACAAAAAAATATTTTTCTCACCACCAGCGTAGTTGCTTAAAAAAGGAATTTTTCATTTGTAAGGCAAAACCCGAATAATTGTCAGTTACAATTATGTCAACAATTGTAACTTTAACAGTTGGCTGTCTAATACATTTTAGGTAGGTAAATATACCATATAAAAAGAATATACTAGCCCTAACATACATTAAAATGTATAGTTTTAAGAAAGCAGGTCCTTTTTTCCGTTATTCTTATTAAATAAAAACATAACGAACGGAATATTTCCGTTTTACAATCTTATTGAAAAAATATAAAAAGATTTGAAAATAAATTATCTTAAAATAACGTTAGGCGTCAAAAACAGAAGTGTAGTGATGGATGAGTTAAAATTATTTTTACTTTATCTGTCAAACGTACGAAGTTGAAACTTGACGGACCGATAAAATGTCATAATTTTCGAATTGCACCAATAAAAGCGCTTCTGGATGAACGGACTAACGGACAAACGGGTACATGAAAATTAAGCTTAAGTGTAAACCCGTTTCATGCATAATTTAATTATACATGAGATCATTACATAAGTTTATTTAAGAACTGTTTTAACAGATACTGATTAAAATAAATAGATTTATTACCTTTAAAAGCGCCACAGAGAAAAAGGGGGCGTGGTGATGGCAATGAAGATGCCAAATTGAAAAATAAAAAAATTCTATGTAATAGTGCAATCGAATGAGAGCAAACTGTTTACTAACCTTTCAAAAAAGAATGTCATACTGACACCAATGGTTTAAAAGTAAAAACTAGTTCTGTACCCCAGAGCCAAAATCTCTAGCAACCATTGCAGAATTCCACTCTAGCGGGATTATCTTCCGGCTGCAGGTGCTGCACTCGCGTAAAATGAACGTACTTCATAGGAGATTCGCGTGGAACTTCCCTTATGCTCTTCCTCTTCGCTGTTCTAATTCTTTAAGAAGCACCGTCAATTTCGTTACAACGCAGAACAACTTTACAATCCAGGGGACGATCGGGAAAGCGCTGGGAAAAAACTTGTGCTGCCCATACTCCCCATAAATAATTATCATTTCGGCATAATTAGAGAAGGAAAACATAACTTAAAATGATAAATAATGACAAAAACAAAAATTGACAGCAGTGTCAATAAAGTAGTGATGGGTCGTGATTTTGATAACGTGATTTTGGAACGTTATTTTTAAATCACGTTCCGGAACGTTCCTAAATATATCGGAACGATGTGACAGCGTATCGAACTGAATAGAAACAGAGAATCCGACCATCGAATGAGTGAACGGAGCGAGTGGGAAGGGAACGACGTGAAACATGGAACAGAACGAACGTCGCTAACGTCGGAACTGGTTTCGTTTCTTGTTCGACTTTCGCGGCGCCGACTTGAGCTGAACATTATCGGTGCATATAACCAATATAACGAGGCGGGTGGAATCGTTCCGCTGGAACGGTGCATAAAAAATTAAGTTTGTTAGGTAGGGTAGATGAAATCCAATATTCCTAATATTGTACAATTATTAAACTATAATACCAAAAGTTACTAAGAAGGTTTTTTCTTACTAGAGAATCTTTATTAGAGATAGACAAAACATTCAAGGAATCAACAGGTTTTTGTGTATTAAAGGGGTCCCTAGACGTTTAAAAAATATTTTGCTCAATATTACTGCACAAAAAATTGATTATTGTCCCTAGGCAATCAGACAATATAAATAAATTAGGCAATATTGTCAACACAATGTTAACTAAATTGCTTAATACAACATATTGTGCAATAATAATAAACCTTATAGTGTATAGCAAAAGTTACAATATTTAATTTTGGTATTAAATTTGTTATGGTGCGGTCAACAGAACTGGGAGGCGCGCCAGACAAAATGTAGCCCAGCAACGTCGTGTCGTGGATTCCACTTGCATGTATTGTGAAATCATTTACCCTACGTTCCGAAATCACGCGATTTTGGTACGTGATTTTTTAGGAACGGAACGGTTTGGTACGTTCCGGATTGGGAACCGTTTTTTCCATCACTACAATAAAGGGGATTTCAGTCGACGAAATATTTTACATATTATAATATCAACAATGCATCCTAAGTATATCCTACCCTATGGCCATGTATTGGGATTGGCTATCGTTTTTTATTCTTATCTCGCTTATCCTTTGCGTTAGATAATTTTAATTTTTAACTACCTATGTGTTTCGCATAACTTTCGGCACGTCCCCTTTTTCTCTGTGGCGCGAGTTCTGTGACACCCTGTATAATTTTTACAACCAAACTCAGGACAACCCGATGTTTTTAATTCCTTTTCAAGCAAAAACACAAAAAACAAACTTGTGTAAGGCAAGGGAAAACTCGAATGAAAAGTGACGTTTCTGTGTGAAAACGTTTACTTAAATGACAGGTCTGGGAGAAAAGAAATTCAGATTAATAAAAAGTGAGGTTAGAACCGATTGACAGTTGTCAGGTGACAAATAAAAATTTAACACTAGTAAAACAAATAATTATTCTGCCCTGCTAAGCTATATCTACAATATTAAGTAATAAAGGACAAAGGATCATGTTAATTGTTAAAAATAATACAAATTATGTTTTGTTCTTTATTACTTAATATTGCAGATACGGCAATAAAATTTGGTGAAACCCTGTATACAGGGTATAGAAATGTAATATTGTGAAGTTTTCAAAAAAATACAACTACCTACTTGGCCAGTAATTTTAATCAAAAGAGCATAAATTGAATGTTTTCTGGTTTTCGGAATGATCCTTACTATCCCCGCCCCGCACATTTTTTTTTTCTTTATTAACTTAGGCGAACACACTTAAAATACTCGTTATTTGGACCTACATTTTTTATAAAAACCTATTTTGCTCTCCGATGCGCTGTGGCTTAAATATATTGAACAACATCAACCATTTTTTTTTTTCGGAAAATGGTTTTCTTCTTTTTTACATCTTTTGTGCTATTAAAAAATTTTTTTGTAGCTTTTGAAATTTCCTTTAAAATGACCATTTACTAGTAAATTGGTCCAGTGTAGGCTGGACAATCCACATTTCGAGCTTATAGCTATCTATAGATTGTCCAGTCCCACACTGGAACAATTTAATTAATTTATATATTCAATTTATAGGAAATTTTCAGAGGGAATAAAAAAAACACCACAAAAGGGGTAAAAAGGGAGAAACACAATTTCCAAAAAAGTTGTTGCGTTTTTTTCCATGCAGTGCTTGCAAATCCAAGTCCGACCGCGTTGGGAAGGATGGTTGTTCAATACCCGCGTGAAAAGAATAAGGATAGAATGCCAAACAGAATTTGATTAGTCAGAGCGTCAGGAGTGCGTATTGTAAGCGCCATAGAGAAAGGAAAAAAGGAGAGGAACACTTTACGTGTTACGATTAAGGCACATAGTTTCGAGCGCCCTCGGTGGCTACGGGAATGAACTAGGTGTTTGGAGGGAGATTTAAAACTAAATTGAAATAGATCTATTTATGATAGGAATAATAAAAATGCATATTAAGATAAATGGTTTTTTATTCAAGAAACAAATGTATATAAATAATAGACAGTGTGTGCCTGGTTGCCAATTGGAAAAACTTTTTTAAGACAAAAATTGTTACGTTTTAAGAAAAAAATGAATACTTCATAAAAACTCGTGCTTGTTTAAAAAATGATATATCCATAAAAAAAATTTAAACAAATATACAGGGTGCTTCCAAATCACGGATTAATTCATTTATAGAATTTTTTTAGAGAAAGTCGATGAAAATTATAATACGAAATAATAAAATATTGAATGCCTAATTTTATTTAAAGATGTTAATTTTTTAAATTTATATTTGGTCTTTAAATTGCCAACTATAAATATATATCTATAGATACTTTATATTATAAAATATTATAAATAAAGGTAGTACTTTTTGAATTTTCTTAATTTTTAAACAACCTGTATATTTGATTAATTTTTTAATGGGAATCTCATTTTTAAATAATTAGAAGATATTATGAAGAATGTTTTTTCGTAAAACGCATAATAAAAATGTTCACAAACCCCTCTGGGGAAACACTGTATATAACACTGTATTATAAAACAGAACAAAAATAAAAAATAACAAATAGGTACCTAACAAGTAAAAACATTTTTAGCAGATATAATATGGTGAAAAAATTAATAAACTTTAATCTTAAATATAAACAAAACAAAAGAAACATTTTTGCATAAAAACATCTTATACAGGGTGTCCCATAATTAGCGTGCATACAAAAATAGGTCGAGAAATGCTTTCCAAGGGAGCTACAGCCCCCAAAACAGGAGCCCCTGAAGATGGTTTTTATTTAATATCTCCAAAACCGTTTAAGATAAAAAAGTGCAATTTTGGGATATAATCAAACTTTATATAGCCAATAAATTGGAATGATTTTAAATTTTTATAAGGGGTGGGTCAGATAGAAATGGAGGGGGGGGTAAAACTACCCTAACTTTTTTGTACGTATCATGTGCTATGATTTGATATCAGATCATAAAATTTCAGAGTTTTACACACAAAAAAGGTCCTCTTGATGAACTTCGATAGCATGCACCGTTTTCGCTTAAAATCGATTTAAAAATTACCTTACATAGCATAAAAATTCATAATTAAATCACAACTAGAGAAAAAGATTCAGCGTAGGCCATGGACAATTTTTAAACATGGCCATGGACAATTTTTAAACACCCTGTCACATATTACATAAAACTGTCACCTGTATTAAATAATTTTTCCTAAAGATGGCAGCTGTGTTCCATGGCCTACTCAGAATTTTTCTCTCTTGTAAATTAATTATGATCTTTTATGCTATGTATGTAAGATAATTTTTAAATGCATTTTAAGCAAAAACAATGAAGAATATCAAAGTTTAACAAGAGGACCTTTTTTGTGTGTAAAATTCCGAAATTTCATAATTCACATCAAATCCCAGCACGAGACACGTACAAAAAGTTAGGGTGGTTTTAACCTCTATTCCCTATCAATCTGATCCACCCCACATGGAAATTTTGAATTGTTATTATTACATCTTAAGCCAAGTTCATATAGATGCAAATTTGCGAATTTACGAATTTGCGAAATACGAATATTCGCATTTCGCAGCTCCTATTCATATAGATGCGAATTGTCGGAACCATTTTAGGGACATTGTTTTCTCACTAGGCGATATTTGCCATGGTATTTTAGGGACATTATTTTATTATTATTATATTTGCCATACTTGGTTAACATTTTCTATAGGTAGGTACTTCTAAAAAAATATGCTACTATAAGGTAAAATTAGAAACTAATGTACCTCCAAAAACTCTTTGTCCATTATAAAGAACAAAAAACAAGTTTTGGAAAAGAAACATTTCAAATAAAACTTAACAACGATGAAATACAAATGAAATAAACACAGAACATAAACAAAAATGGCGCGGGTACATATAACAAATACGTATAATAGGCATCTGCATTAATGCGCATGCGCATCACGCCAAATTCGTGCGATTTTCGCAAAATATTGGATCAATCTCAAGATTCCCGCCCCCCAGATTTCAAATCTTGCGAATTCGCAGAATCTGTCGAAACGTCAAAACACTTTTCCCGCCAAATCAAATGGACCAATGAAAACATTTTCGCATTTCGCAAATTCGCATGTCGCATCTATATGAACCAGGCTTTATTGGCCATAAAAAGTTTGATTAATTTCTACCTTAACGATTTTGGATATATTAAATAAAAACCATCTTCAGGGGCTCCTCATTTGGGGGCTGTAGTTCCCTTAGAAAGCATTTCTCGGCCTATGTTTATGGGAACTTTTTTTTCTTATTTTTGCACGTAGTATTGCACGCTAATTATGGGACACCCTGAATATTACCTATAATGCATATAAATTTTAATATTATTACCTCAAGTAAAGCTGTAAACCATATGTGGTTTATATTTTTATAATAATAACAATTTAAAGTTTAAACTGCCCATTATTATCTTTAGGGACATTGAGAATCTCCTACCAGGTATATCAGAACGATTAGATCCTAAAAAACAAAGTATTTAGGAGGTGCAGAGTGTTTATAAAATTATTACCTTTAATGTAGCTCTGGACAAAGCATAAACAAAAAAATAAACAAATAAACCATGTACACAAACAATGTAACCTCACAAAACGAAGTTTTATAATACAAAAATTACTTAAACACACCCGGTAGAATGTTGTCTTTGTTGAATACATATAAAAACAAAGACGGCTGCAGAGCAGTATGACAATTATTAAAAGTTTATATAGTTCAGCCGCTCACCACCATGCGCTATGCGCTACGGGAACGTTATGCATGCGCCGTCCTATTCAATTGGTGGTCTTTTTCTTTTCTTTTCTTTTGTCTATGGTAAGCGCCTTCTGTTTGGCGTTCTATCCTTGTTATTTTCAAGCGTCCTTCCCAAACCGGTCGGACTTGGATTTGCAAGCACTGTATATGTATGCAACAACGCATCGGTGAGCAAAATAAGTTTTATAAGAAATGTATCTCCTAAAATTGCCTTTGTTTTAAAAGTTTATTGGCCTCTGTGAGATAAACGCTTCGTAAGTTATTGAAACAAAAAGTTTTTTTAAATGGCGGGCTATGACGGCGCAGGGGTTGTTCGGATCAATCCGAAAACTATTCAATTTATGCTTTCTCAATTAAAAAAAAATAAGATTTTAACCGGTATAAAAGTACGCTTTTACTGACCTATAAATATATAAAAATGACTCAAACATTGGATTCGCCAAAACCACAATGACATAAATGTTAAAATTTATTCGTTAGTTAATTATAATTATTTTTTTTATTTATGTGTGTTAAATTGCTCCACATACTCCATATTATAATAATAGACACTGCAGATATAGTGCAGTTTTAAATTTTTAATTTAATATTAGATAAAAAAATGTATTGTGCATCAGAGGCAAGAATGGTAAAAATTTAGATTTTTTTATATTTAAAATAAAAAAATAACCATAACCTACATTTTAAATTTCTTCAATAAAAGAGTGCGTAGAAAAGTTTATAAGATGAATTCCAAATTATACTTCTTCTGCGACCAACACAAAAATAATTTTCAAAAATAAATAAATAAAAGTTGACACGTCACTTTCTAAAGATCATTCGTTTTTTTCATTTGGAATTTGACACATTTGATTTTGTTGTTATTGTATGTTTATATCTTAGAACAAAAAACAATTCTAAGGTTTATATATTTTTAATATTTAAAATTGGTATTCCTGTTCAAGACCTTAATTTTAAATACTTTGACATTTGTCATTTAACTGAATAATAATAATCATACATGTATTTGTACGCTGAAATGCAAATATTTGACATTTCAAAATTTATAAACATTCTTACAATAATTATTATTACATAACTACAATTATTTTCTCCACTAAACTAGTTTCTGTACTAAATTTAGCCAATTTTAAATTTAGAGACCCTAGAATTTGCTAACTAAACCCCCAAATTTTTGACGTCAAATTCTGATTTAAAAAAACAAACTGTAGTCGCTTTATGTATGTTAATTATTTGAGGATTGTATGAATTTTGTCGCTGCCAACTAACTTAAACTTCAGCCCATAACTACAGCAATGTGCGAGTATAAATGTATTATTTCGTTTTGTTAGGTTGTTGAGACTGCCAGTGACGACAGCTTTTCCGACGACGAGACGTCGCCGAAAAAACGCCGCGACCTGTTGACCAGGCGGCCATCGTACAGGAAAATTCTCAACGATCTTGGCGGGGGTGAGATAGCTGGTATGTTTTTTCATGCATGTTCTCGGGAAGCTTTTCTGTCTATATATGGAGTTTGATTTTTTAGATGAGTGTTCTCTAGTGCACTTTATAGAAGCATAATATCGTTAAAAATCGCCACTTCCTGTGGCCTATTTTAACCTATTTTATTTTCTATAATTTTGATACGATGGCTGTTGCCATTTTTTATTTATGTTCATAAAATTATGATTTAAAGGTATTTGATTTTTATTTTCATTAATTTTTTTTAATTATTTTTATTACATGGTGTTAAAATAATAGTGGAACTTTGAATTATCTATATATATTGGCAATAAGGCAGGATTATATAGTGTATAGCACAAATATAAAATTTTAATTTATTATTTAAAACCATGTATTTCATATCAGGTTCTGCTTTAGTGCTGATTTATTTATCAATGTGGCTGGTTTTAACACCTTGTATGATTTAAGCATGTTGGGTATAAAATATACATACTTTATAGCATGCTGGATATTTTTCAAATTTAAGAATGCCTAGAATAATATTTTATTATTAGTGCATTAGCGTTTTGGGTCAGTTCAAAACCAATTACATGCACAATAATTATTATAAAACAAATTGGTTCAGAAATTCAAGCTATTTTTGCATGTATTATTTATTTAGTTTATTTTTAGCATAGTCAATCTGTTGAAAAATCAGGGGGTACATTGAAAAAGTTCAGCTGGCTGTATTTTGGATTATTATTCCTGGTGTATTTAAATCGTTTTTTATTGGTTAGGCAAAAAAGTGTTAAAACAAAAAATCTAGAGCTTTAAATGTTCAACATAATTGTTATAGGCAAAACTTTCTGTATTTAGTTCCTAAAAAGATATAGTGCGCCAAAGTTAAAAAAATTATTTAAATGTTAAAAATTTCAAGCATTAAGTTTTTGTCTAAACAATGGAAAACGCTAAACGGGGAACACAGCATTCCACTTTTTGGACCATCAGGACTGCCATATTCAAAATCCAGCCAGTTTGGAATATTTTCAATGTTAAAATACAGATTGACTGTACTATTACTTTTGCCTCAATTAAGCAAAATTAACACTTAAAATAAAACTATATCTCCAGTTCTATCTAAATTGTGTTAATTTGCATATAAAAACCCATTGTTTTGTTTTTTGTATACTAAATACAGTTCTTAAGTGCATGCAAAGGGCTTAAGGGTTTTTTTATCAATTTGTATATATTTTCCTATCCTTGCCTGCAACTTTTACATTCATTATTATTATGCTACTTCTATTTTTTTATGTAAATCTTTTGTGGTATGGGATTACTATTGTACAGAAAAAACAATGGGCTTAAAATTTGCAAGTATTAGACAAAATTATGCTGCTCAAAATAATTACAACATTTATATTTTTTAAATTAATTTTTTTCCAAATTTATTTTCTATTATTTATTTTGTTGCGATAATTTTTTTGGGCAGCTCTATAACAGTATTATTATTGTAATTGGAGACATGTAGATACGCGGTGATTTGTGAACATATTTTACCCGAGAAAAAACTTATTTAAACGAAGCAAAAAAACGTGCGACCAGGTTTTGATTTTTGAAATTGATGGTGTTCGCAGAAACCAAGGTCGAGCAGACTTCCTCCGAGGGCGATAGCGAGCTCAGCTCGCACTCTATCCCATACCACACAGGTTAGTTTATAATTTCATCAGAATTAAAAAAAAAATACGACATGTATACCATTCCGTCCGTCCTTTGCAGTTGATTTAATTTGCTCATGCACTAATTTTCAACGCTAATGCTATACATTTCGATTGGCTGGTGTTTGAAGGTTTTTCAAGGTCATTTGTATGGTTGACAGTAAAAAAAATTGGGAAATGCTTTAAATACGTTTAAATAACTATCCAAGATACCAAAAGAATAACGTAATAAAAACAAATTAATTACCACATACTCCTTAAAAATTATGTAACTACTTTTTTTTAATGTGTAAAAAATGATTATATAAATAATAATAATTTAATATGGCGTCTATATTTTAATATAGTAAAAATATGACTAGGGGCCAGTCCATAAATGTCGTGACGATAATAATGGTCAAAATTGACAAATGGCAGAAATAAGCAATTTCATTCGATTTACGGTGTCACGTGACTTTTTAATAAACCCTTCCCTCTCGGTCCTGCCAAATGTTGACGGTCCTTCAACCCCCCCTCTCCCCTTTAGCATCACGAGATTTATGGAACCTTATGAGTAAAATTTAGTTTAGAGTTAAAATATTTACGTTAAATTAACATAAATTAACCTATAAGTATTTTTCTATCGTAAAAATTACGTTAACAAACATATTAAAATACTTCAGAGTTGTGAAATTTTATAGTTATAAAAGAAAGTAAATATTTCATTAAAAACGTATTTTATAAGTTTACCATTTTTTTACTGTTTAAGGTAAATTAAACAACATATTTACCTAAATTAAGTAATAAATTTTACTTGCTGCTTGGGTCTCTAAAAACAACTTCTTTTAAGCAAATTTGACCTTAAAAAATTGGTAAACAAACAGAATTTAATGCTGAAAGAAATATTATTTTTTGCACGCGTGGCATTTTTATTCATTATATCTAATACAAATAAAATATACAACTGTTTTGGTGATTTAAAATCTCCTACATAAAAAATTGTTTTTAACAATATCGGATGTTTTCTTGTTACAGTGTTACCGGCAACAGCCATACAAATATCGAGCGGCGAAGGAGGCCAGGGGATTCACACGTTGACGATGACAAATTCGACGGCGGGCGGGGCAATCGTGCAATACGCTCAGGGACAAGAGTTCTTCGTACCCGGTAAGATTTTTATTAATTAAATGGTGGAATTAAGAATGTTATCATCTAATATGCATGATGCATCCTTCTACTTGGAGCCTGGAAAAAACAATTTAAAATAATAAGATACAAAAAAATACGCTAAAGAAGCATCGCTAGTAGCTCCATCACGTGGCCCTTACAATCGTAACCAAAATTCAGCTTTCAATAAGCAGCTGTCAAACGCGTATGTTACAAACGAGTGTTTTTAAGAATAAAGCTGGAAAATGTTCAAAGTATCGGGATGTTGGGTGTTTTTCGAGAGAAAATCCTGGGTTGAGTTTTTACCGGTTTCCCAATAAACAGTGAAAATTCGTATGAAGAAATAAATTGCAAAGTCTGTATATATAAATTGTACTTATTAGATCCTACAATAAATACACATTTTAGTAATGATTTACGTACAAATTTCAATTTAGAAAAAATCATAAAAGTTTTATGATAAAACAAATAAGTCGTCTTAATTCAAACAGCATTATGCATTATTAAAAGCGTTGATTAAGAAAGTCTTCACTCAACAGTAAAATACCAAGAACCGGTATTATATTATGCATTATATGTATGTTGCCATAAATTCGTAGATATATTTTGTTGTTCAAAATGCAGTTATCTGCATTTTTTTAGAGGACTCAAATATAAAAATGTTTGATTTTAAGGATATGTTTGTACAACAATTGTGGAGCAATCAGACAAATGCAGATAAATCCGTTCCAAGCAGTTTCGAGTTCTCAGCGAAAAACTAATATGTTTCGTTCTGCAACATGTACACAAAGAAAAACCCATGTGTTCTAAAGGGTATAGTGTTATAAGACCTGAAAACTCATTTTTCATTTTTGGTCCACATGCATCATGTGTTATAGTAAAAAAACAAAATAGATTTATCTAGTGTTGCTTGAATTGACAGGATTTATCTTCATTTGCTTGAAATAGGAATAAAAAACCGTTTTAGTCATTGACCTATACAGGGTGGTCCAGTATTTATCTGAAAAATGTTAATGCCATTTAGGTTAATTTAAAATAACAATAATGTGAATTTATCTTATTTTCATTGAAACCAGAATTTAAATTGTATTAATTTGAATTTATCTGCTTTTGCTTGATTTGCTATGGTGTTTCGAGACCGTTATTCTATATCAATTACTTGGTTTGAGTCAATTCTGAGTTCACCAATGGATTAATCTTACCTCATTTACTGTTAGTTCATTCCTAACTCATTTTTCAACAAAACTGGATTTATCCGCTTTAATCTGATTGCTCCACAATTATTTTTTGTTAGATTTCTTAAAAATGTCCAAACTTAAATATAAATTATATTAAGTAAAGTTATCATTAGTTAATTCAGCACCAACAAATATACATACCGTATTGGATCCTTTGGCAAAACAATTCAAATAAAAACACAATATATTGTGTTTTTATTTATTATAATTCACCATGATCACTTAAATAAAATAAAAACACTAACGTTACTATAAAAGCATATAAGCGTTGAGTTTATTAATCAATGATATAAGAAATAATAAATCGAAATCAAGTACTAAACCAAAGTTTTTACTTGCAACGCAAGACACAAATAACGTGAGCGATTTAGCTGTGCAATTGAACAAAATTTCTCTTTTGTAAAAAAAACTATTTATTTATTTAAAAATGATGTGCAGCTTGCATGCTTAAATTATCTTCAATTCTTGAATTATCAACAATGCTATCTAACACCACCAGATGGCGCGCGCGTTGCGAAAACCCGATGCTTCTTTAGCGTATCCCAAGCAGCATTTTAAGTTTAAATAACTACTACTAAGTCAACTTTAAAGTATTTTTTACGGTTAATCAAAACGGTTTTATAACGGTATATATACGAAAAATTACCAAATTTGGGGAATGGTTTATTTCGTTATTTTACCTACATAATAACCTTCTTGATCTACTAAGAGAATATCGTAATAAGAACAATATAAATACCACAAATTTACGTAAAAATAACGTTATAATTACTAACTGTTTGCTCTCTCTTTCAAAAACATTGACATTCGTAATTTCTTTGTTCTTTTAATTTATATTTTACAAAATGGTACTTGCAAAGTAATAAAGGCCACCCTAGAGTAAAATTAAAAAATATACCTTAAATTGTTAAAACTAATAATATTTTGCATTAAAACTCAAACGCACATTATATTATTGATAAAAATAGGTATGATACATCTTAAAAATTATATGCCCTCTAAAAATTTTACGATTTTAAGAAAAATTATTGCTTGGGTAAAAATTCAACAAAACTAAAACCTACAAAATTTTATAAAATCTTTTAAAAATCATTTAGTTTTAATAATTTTTTAATAACTAAAACTTTCTTTATTATATTTTAGAAAAATATTTATGAAAAAATATCATATAAATGTTTAGATAAGTAATGGATGCCATCTTAAAAAAATCATTATGGCGACCTGAAAAAAATTTTCCCTTAAAGTTTTATTTTTCACTTTAAGCTTATTTTTCCTTGTTTAGTCAATATTAATAGTATTTATTACCACTAATAACCCTAAAAAATACCAGGCGAATAGGAATTATTTACTGTTATAAAGTGGTCTTAATATCATTACATTATGACTTATGAGTAACATTTACCATTAAGTAAAAATTCTGACGTTAAAATTACCGTTAAATTTTCCCTTAGGTGAAATACACTTATAAGTAATTTTCTTTCGTAAAAATTACGTCCCTCATAATACTTTTAAGTTTTGAAACTTAAGGGTTATTAAAACAGGTAAAAATAACATAAATAAAACCTATTAAATAACTTTAAAAACAGTTTTACTTTAAAGTAAATTTTTAAGGTTAATTTAACAAAATATTTACTTAAATTAAGTAATATTGCCTCAAAGCTCTACGCTTTTACTTAAAATGCTGCTTGGGATAGGTTCTACTAAACGACCAATTCTGCCCTGCTATTGTTTGTCAAAAATATAAGTGGTTTTAAAAATAACAATTGAACATAACATTAAATTTATGTATAATAAAATAAAAAGAAGCATGACAGCTTATCGTATTATTTTCAGTTGTGGCTCAAAGTGGAAGTTTGAGCGGCTCGGCCGGCGAAGATCAGGCGCGCAAACGCGAAATGAGGTTGCTCAAGAACAGAGAGGCGGCGCGCGAGTGCCGGCGGAAGAAGAAAGAGTACATCAAGTGTCTCGAGAACCGGGTGGCGGTCCTCGAGAATCAGAACAAAACGCTCATCGACGAGCTCAAATCGCTCAAGGAGCTCTACTGTCAGCAAAAAGCCGAATGAGAACCGAAACTTAGTAAGACTTTATTCGAATTCTTACAGTGGGTGTGGTTGACTTGTTAAAATTAAACGAAAAGGTTTTAAATGCGTGAAAGTCGCTCGGGATATTCGGTTAGCGAGTACCTATAGTAGCAACGAGATGCGGGTTCATTTGGACAGTGGACCATGTGCATTTATTTACACGCGGTTTTTTCGGTATGCATCAAATGGTTTTTTTTTTCAATCAAGACACGTGTATTTCGGTATATCACATGGGATATTCAACGAATTAGTTTTAGATGTAACTAGTGTTGTAAAGAAAAACATCCCAATTGGAAGCATTTCCAGGTAAACGAAAAACAATGGGTATTTCAAACGAAAATATTTACAAATCTTTTGTTTTTTAAAGTTATTATTTAAGCAATTCAATTGTTTTTAGGGTATTTTTATGGTTGGTTTCATTTTTTCATATTGACTTTTTTCTATTATAAAATTGTTTGAGTTAAGTACAAGTTTCTTTAATTTTAGAAATTTGTAAAATATTTTCTCCCAAAAGTACACTTTTAAACTGTGATTTTATGACTACAATACAAAAGCGCTTTTGAGGATGATATACCACATTTTTATGATAAAATTGAAATGGTAAAAAAATGACCTAAATCTGTATGTTGACGTCGAAAACATTTCGGATTTTGGATGTGGTTTTCCTGATGGCAAAAACTAAATTCCCGTGTCCTCCCCCTAGCGCTTTTTCCTTTTTAAATGATAAAAATTAATAGTTTTATCTTGTTTCCTATTGGTCAAAGAAAAAAGTTTTAGTATTGAAATTTTTAACATAAATAATTTTTGTTAACTTTGTCGTCCTGTATCTTTTTAGAAACTAAATACAGAAAGTTTTGCCTATAACAATTTTGTTGAAGACTGTGTAGAGCTTGAAATTTTTAACATATTTGTTTACACGCAATTCTTTCAGATATACCTCTCTATCTTTCTAGGAACTAAAAATAGAAAGTTTTGCCTATAAACAAATATGGTGAAAATTTAAAGCTCCACATTTTTTGTTTTAAAACTTTTGTTCAATTAATAAAAAATAATATAAAAGGATTAAAACCTTTTTAAAAAATACTTGTCTGTTATAAAATTAATAAATAATAAAACCTTGATTAAATGTTTCTAAAATGGTTTTAGTTCATTTTTTAACATAACTTTTTTAATTTCAATTTTATTGTAGAAATGTGTTTTATTGTTCTAAAAAGCAAAGCGTTTTTAACGCGATTCTTTAATAAAATCACCTTTGTAGTTTAAAAATGTATTTTTATGAGAAAATATCGACTATGTTACACTTCTAATAAATTGAATTTTACAAATATCAATTAAGTATAACATTTTCAGAATAATATCCTGAAAAGTCTGTCAGTGCTTAAATAATAACCAATACATAAAGAATTTTAAAATTAAGTATTAGAACATTTTACAACACTGCTAGATTTGCCAATCAAAAAAGTTTCTTAAAAAAAACGTGAACGTTTTAGTTTTTTCACTGAAACTTTTCTGTGCATTTTAAAATACATTATTTGTTTTTTACCTTGAGATGTTACACCTGGATTTATTTATCCTGAATAGAATTCATCATTTTTTACTGTTTTTTTATTATAAATTTGTACTTGATTATATTTTTTACAAAGCAACTACAAACATATAGACTTGTTGCCTTTATAAAGTTGTACATATTTGCTTAAATTTTCTAACCAAAGAGTATCAATTTTTAATTATTTAGTATGTTATTTTATTTTTTGAAAGTGTATAGAATTCTCCTAACAAGCGAACAAATGCTATAATTTTGTTGATCTGAATGGTTTTATTAATTAAGAAAAGTATAAAGTTTTTTTATCTAATGACAATAAAACGTGTTACCTTTATTGGAACTGTACTTAACAATCAGGGACTGGCAGTCAAATTTCACTTGCTTTTGTTTTTCCTTTGACACTTTTAATGAGTAAAATTTTAATTCAGTGAAAATGAGTGAAAATTTGAATTTAGTCTCTGTTAAAAATACTGGGTTTTCAATTCTTTTTCAAATTTTCACCTTTTAGTTAGTTGTATCTATCAAAGAAGAAAATTTATCAATTTTCTAAATTTAAATTAAAGGTGGAAATTTTTCTTCATAATTTCTCGATTATTATTTTATATGTGGTAGGTACTGTTAATAAACTGGACGGAAAAGGCTTGTGAAGATTATAAAATTATATTTGTAAGAAGCCGATGTATATATCTTATATTATTGTACAAAATGGATAGGTATTTATTCTTAAATGTCCAGACCTGAAAGAGAGTGCCTTGATAGGTTTAGGTTTTTAAATATCTTTATTTTTCATTGGCATTTTGTAACATTGCATTTTAAAATTTGGTGCCATAAATTTAATTTTTTGCAATATTTACCTATTATTTTGATCTTTTTAATTCTTATGAAATTGTTTTGATTAGGTATTTTCTTTTAAGATCAAAATAATCTGTGAATGTGTAAAACTTTTGCAAACCGTAATGTCACAAAGTGCTTGAAACATGATAAATTTGTTGGTCTAATAGGTTAAAATTGTAAATATTTGTATTAAATGTATATGTATTTTTACATATCAGAAAGATTATATATTTATCAAAAAAGCTAACTACTTTTTCACATCATTAGTTTTTCATGGTTATGTAACTGTTGCCTATTATGTGTTCCGGACTGGAAAATTATTTGTCTTCTGTTGGCTCTTGGTAGTGTTTTGTAGTTAGAAAGGTTGTAAATAAAATAATTATTGAATGTTTGTTATGTAAATGATATAAAACTGGTAACAATTTTGTACATTTTGAGTTTGCCATTTTTTATCATTGCCATAACCCCCATTTTTATTTTAAGTATTAGTTGATTTATTATTGTAATAAATTGAATATTTTAATTTTTCTTCTTTTATTTTTGATCCTAATACAAAATATTTCATAAAAAACTTATTAAAAGCATAAAATGGAATAATTACTATTGATATGGAAAAGTATTAAACAACATTCAAATAAATTACGTGAAACTTTCAAAACAGTTGTTTTTATATTTATTTACATAGTATAAAAGTGAGTAAATTTACAAACAAAAATTCTTTATTAGGCGCCATCCATACATCTCGTCACAAGGGTCAATTTCGACCATTTTTAGCTTCACGAAACCCCCAAAGAGTCCTGTGAAGAATTATACAATCCCTTTTAAAACAAATTTGTAAAATATGTGACATATTATACAATATTGATTGAAACTGACAGTTATTAGTAGGTACTTAATTTAAAATTATTCATTGTTATCAGTACCTAGCTGTTTTATTTTTTTTATTGATGGTTTTTATCACCAACGTGTGACAGTACTAAATACAATACTATGATATTAATATTGGGCTTCTAGCGTTTTTCTATATTTACAAGAATATATTTTTGAATTAGTTTTTTTCAGAGTAACCTTTAGTTTTGTGAATGCGTAGTCTAAAACTACCTTTCTATTAAAATTCTTCAAACTAAACCACTTTTTACATAGCTCCGTAAGAGTTATATAACTTATAAGGATAATGTACATTATCCTTTTAAGTTATATAACTCTTACGGAGCTAATACGTACTTATTAACCGAAAAAATACTACCTACAGTAACTGAGAATGCGTGAAGTTTTTAAAACCTTAGTAAAGTCCATATATGGTATATATCAGTGGCGGCTCGTGGCAGTAAAATTTGTGAGTTCTGCCAGTGGGGTTTAAAAAAATGTGGCGCAGTTGGCATTTAATTAAATGGTACCTACAGATAATTAATTAAATCATAATTAAATCATACACCACATTCATTCTTACAAAAGAATACAACAACAAACACAAAACACAAAAATACACAGAATTAACAGTCTTCTAGTTAAAATAACAAACGTGAACGCGAAGCGAAAAACAAACGACCGGGAAGTAGGAACTGTATGTTGGTGCAGCTCCGATTTTGCTAAAATTTCGCTATCTTAACCCAGGGCCAAGAGCGGCGCGGGGCAAAATTACGGTATTGAAATGGGAACCAGAACTCGAAAGTGGCCCAGCTTTGTTGTATTGTAAGCGTTAAGCGTTAGAGACCTTTACCGGTCGTTTGGATGACTGTAGTGGCCAAGTACGGCGACACGGCAAATGTTTATAATAAAAACTTTTTATGCAGCCTTGCGTTTGAAATATTTATAGGTACACTGTCGCACTTAAATATTAAATAATTAAAAAAATAGTCAAGTAATAAGAAAATTTTGGGAGTTCTGCAGCCCTTATACACTAGCCGCCCCTGGTATATATACCGTATACCAGAGCTGCAAGCTCTCAGAAAACTTAAATCGTTTTTTTGATTTAAATCGTTTTAATGACTTAAGTCATTTGGTAATAAGTCATTTCTCTAAAACTGACTTAAGACTTAAAATTTAAGTAATTTTCAAAATGATTTGTGACTTAAATATTTTTTTTTAAATAGAAAAAACTTAAGTCATTAATAAAAGGCTTAAATTAGTATATACGATTTAAGTCAGATAGAAACAATTTAAGTCAAAAAAAGATTTAAGTCTTTTTGAAAAAGATTTAAGTTTTTTTAGAAAATATTTAAGTCAGATTTTTCATATATTTTTTTATAAATTTTTAACAGCGGCATTTTCTTTTGAACTGCCAGGGGTTCACGCGGAAGCAAATCAAAAACTCCTTTAATTTCCTACCTACAATTGCTACCGCTAGTGGATAAAAAAACCGCCGCGGTAAAGTTAGCTTTTCGGAACCGTTTGACGGCCACATTAAAAAATGTCCTGTCTAAAATGAATTAAAAAAAAGTGGGTATTTATAATTTTGTAATTTTGTTTGCCAATATTCGTCGTGTTCGTGCGTAGGTAGGTCTAATTTGTGATTTTTAGTGCAAAGTGGAAACAATCGGTCGTGAGCGGTCGTGAGCAGTCGTACATCTTGAGCGGTCGTGAATAGAGAGTTTGGAACTTCCCATCATTACTCCCTTAAGGGAGGAATATTTTTTTTCTAGATGGATGTTGAACCAGCTAAAAAAAGTTAACAAAACAACAAGTTATCAGTTTTTGAAATACAGCGATTTTACGAAAAATGCTTTAACTTTTATCTATTTTAACAGAGATGGAATCTATTACCGTTCAGAAGTTACCCATTTATGTATATAAATTTTATATTATAAAAAAGTAGCCTCCCTGTATGTTTACTCTACTAAAAAAGGTGGTTTAAGTTTTTATTTTTATTGTCTACTATATATTCAAAAAATGTGTTTTAAGTTTTTGTTTTGTTTTGTTCTGAAAATAAATCGTTTTAAATTCTTAACATAGTGGTTTATTATCATATGTATCTACAATAGATTATCAATATCAGTATTATTAATACCATAAAATTATTATTAACATTTAAATTTAAATTAAAATCGTTGTATTGACTTAAGGGTAATTATTTTGATTTAAATCACAATTTTTGATTCAAGTCATTTTATTGACTTAACTCTTAGATCACGGTTTAAATAAAAAATATAGACTTAAGTCATAAAAATGACTTACTAAAGGAATTAAGTCATAACATGACTTAAATCACTTTATATTGATTTAAGAATTTGCGAAAATGACTTGACTTGAAAGAAAATTATTTAATTCAAAGACTTAATACTTAAATCATTTGAACTTTATCTTAGAATTGACTTATAAGATTTAAATCATTTTGATTTTAGAATTGACTTAAGACTTAAGATTTAAGTCTTTTTAAAACTGACTTGTTGCAGCTCTGCCGTATACATACATAAAAAATATGCAGTGGTTACTTTATTATAAAAACTTACCAATATTCGTTCCAGCCATAACGTATAATACAAAATATGTAATACAAAAAGTAAGAATGATTTAGGTATTATATCATTATATTAAGTTAGTTTAGTAGTTAAAAATACAATATTGCGTTAAAAAACAAAGTATTTATCTATTTAAAATATCCTAATTAAATTTTTAGAACATTTAAATTAATCAAAAATAAAAAGAAATTGTTTTTGATTAACGCAGTTTAACCCTAATTTGACTAATGTCAAAATACTCACCTTTTATTGGCCGGCCCGTTTAAAAATCCTATTTTAACCAATAGGATTTAAAATTAGCAACTGTTGATTTCTAAAATTTTGCAGTTGCTTCCAGAACAAGCAATTGCAATTAAAGTCGTTTTGTGGATGATTGTGTTAAAAAATTGGAAGAAATGTTTACCGATATTGAGCTATTGTATCGTCAGCATGGTGGAAGATTTGGTATTGCGTGGAATGCGTCAATTAGGGGTATAAAATTTATACCCAGCAAGCAGATAATGGAATTCGATATTATTAGAATTTGGTAAGTACTAAACTAAACCCTGGTAGAAAATAACGTTTTCCCACTTTCAGACAATTGTCGTTAACGTTGCTTTAATGTACATTTGTATATACTATGCATATACTTGTACCTAACGTTATTAAATGTAAAAAATAACGTTTTTCGACGCTAAGACAACTGCAGGGAACCTCAACGTTGTTTGAATGTAGATTTTTATGTTAGAACCTTGGTTGCCAACTATTGTAAATCAAAATCTATTACCGGTCGTCTGGGTTCGATTTATGTTAGATAACTCAAGTTGAGTTACTCAACCTTTCATATTAAATATTGGATACAAACAGATTACAAGTATTACTTACCTAAGTGTTTATTATTTCAATTATTTTTTAAATATATTTTACTAATATTTTTATTATGATTCCAAGTAAAAATAAAGGTTTACAGAAAATAATCCTGCTGAACTCAAATTCACAAATATTTAGGTAGGTATATATTTTATAAAAAAATACAGAATCACAGATCAAAAAGAAATAAAGAATACTATTATTTGACTTATTTATTTAAAAAAAAATGGTCTTGCTAATTAGCAAGCAACTTATGTTGACAAGCAATGTAAGAAAACAACCTAAAAATAAAAAAACTGATCTGTCAACAATACAATTAATGTGAAGTCACTACCAAAGAACACCTTTGTTCTTTGGACACTACGATACGTTCAAAACTATCGGATTACTACAAAAGTGTTTTTTTAATTTTTATTTAATTTTTCGCAGCATAAGTAGGCCTATTCAAAAATGCAATTTTATGCGTTTGACGCATACCTACCTACAATTCAAAAAATCTAGTTTTTAAGATATAGGACATACAGCGACTCGCCCCTGTAAAATATTTATTTATTATGCGATTTTAACCGGATTTGTTTTAAAGTGTAGAGCATGGAGACTACACAAGGAGTTCGAACTTCATGTATCCAAAAACCTTCTCAAGATAAGAGGGCGCTGGTGTTCCTTTTATTAATAAACAATTGTTTAATTTGTACCGAAACGCCACCAAAACAGCAGAGGTCAATACGCATCGGTCGGCAGCCTCGCTTGTGAAAAAAAGACTTAATTTGTGCGAACCTGCCCTCTAAGGTTTTGTCAATTTCCCCCATCTTAAGATCAATTGATAAACTGAGTTTTTGGAGCAAAAAAACACCATATTTTTACAAAATACAAGGCATTCTATAGATGTCAATTTTTTAAGAGTACCTAACTTTTTAAGAATTCATATTAGCGAAAAATCTATGCATGGCACTGGATTCACCACCACTCAAAACGACCCTGTAGGTACTAAATTTAGTAATAAAATTAATTTTATTAAATTTTTTTTAAGTGGGGACGATTTTGTAGCTAAAATAAAAATGCACAATAATTACTATAGTAAAAACAAAAACTAATTCTGTCAAGTAGGTAATCCAAGAAAAAAACATTTAAGATTTTTAAAATTGAAAACGCCTGTATATAGAAAACTTGTGTATGATAAAAATAAATATTTTTTTAATTCCTTCCCAGAGCAATCCTAAATATAAAAATCATAAAATTCAGACCAGGGCAGAAAACGGTTAAAATTTTTTTATTGAGCCAAGATTTTTTTTAGAGCATAACTAACTTTTACAAAATTGGGCACATTGATTTTCAAAAAAAAGCTAAATGGGGCCCCGGTCAATTTTAAAAATAAAAATATTTTCATGTTTAACATTGACTGGGGGTCCGCCCATTTCGTTTGTTTTTTTTTTAAATTAAAGTGCTCAACTTTGGAAAAGTTACTTACTTAGGTACAACTTGGGTAAAAAAAAATTATATTTATATTACTAACGTTTTTTGTCCCAGCTCAAATATTATAATTTTTGTGTTTGCCATGGCTCTGCTTCAGTGGAAGGAATTAAAAATATATATATTTTTGTCACCAACATGTTTATTTTGAACATCAGTGACTTATCCAAAATTGGACACTTTGATTTAAAAAAAAAAAATAGCGAAATGGGCGGACCCCCAGTACGTGTGAAATATGAAAAAAATTGTATTTTTAAAATTGACCGGGAGCCCCATTTAGCTTCTTTTTTTTGAAAATCAATTTGCCCAATTTTGGAAAAGTTAATTATTTGTGCTCTTAAAATATCTTGGCTCAAAAAAAAATTGTTTAACCGTTTTCTGCCCTCGTCTGAATTTTATGATTTTTATATTTAGCATATAGCTATAGCTCTGGGGCAGTGAAAGGAGTTAAAAATTTTTTTATTTTTTTTCACCGAAATATAAATTTTTATTAAACACAAGTTTTCTATATGGGTAATTCTTTTACAAACCGTACGGATTTTGATAAAAATTGACCGACACATCTCCGATTTGGCTGAAACTTTTTTTACGGATTCTATATCGAAAAATAAGAGACACGTGTCCGAGGATTTTTTTTTCTTTCGCATATTTTCGATAATAAAAGTGATCAAAAATTTGAGAAAAACAAGTTTTTTGGCTTGGAGACCCATTTTGAAAAATTTATAACTCCGGTTCTATTTGAGCTACAAACATCTTTTTTTTTCATTTTAAAGCTAAAGGACTGAATTTTGATAACAAAATATTTTTAATAAAAATTATTAACAAATTCATATTGTTATTAACAATTTCATTTTTTAAATCAATTTTTAACAATGGCCCCCACCTCGTATTAAGTTTTTAGTATTTTTATCGTATTCTCCGTCAAATTTTACATAAAAAGCATGTTTTCAAAATATGGTACCTTTATTATTACTATTGTTAAAACATTAATTCATATTGCGCGACACATAAAAAAACGGTTTTTTGTTAATAAAAAGAAAACTATAGCTCGGATCAAAAAAAGTTAAATATCAAAGTTGTAGATAATAAATAGATCTACAATTTTTGTTTTAACTATTTTTCGACATAACCTCACTTTTCAAATAAATTGAAAAAAAATGTTAAAAATTACCTCTTTTAAATTTATTAGCAATCAATACCATGAAAAAAAAACATAAATTAATTATAAATTATAGAAAAATATTTTAAAAGAGGTGATTTTTTTAACATTTTTTTCAATTTATTTGAAAAGTGAGGTTATGTCGAAAAATAGTTAAAATAAATATTGTAGATCTTTTTATTATTTATAAATTTTATATTTAACTTTTTTTGATCCAAGCTATAGTTTTCTTTTTATTAACAAAAAACCGTTTTTTTATGTGTCGCGCATTATGAATAAATGTTTTAACAATAGTATTAATAAAGGTACCATATTTTGAAAACTTGTTTTTTATGTAAAATTTGACGGAGAATATGAAAAAAATACAAAAATCTTAATACAAGGTGGGGGCCATTGTTAAAAATTGATTTAAACAATGAAATTGTTAATAACAATATGAATTTGTTAATAATATTTATTAAACATATTTTTTTATCAAAATTCAGTCCCTTAGCTTTAAAATGAAAAAAAAAGAAGTTTGTATCTCAAATAGAACCAGAGTTATAAATTTTTGAAAATGAGTCTCCAAGCAAAAAAAACCCGTTATTCTCAAATTTTCGATAGCTTGTATTATCGAAAATATGCGAGAGAAAAAAAATTCCTCGGACACGTATCTCTTGTTTTTCGACATAGAATTCGTAAAAAAAGTTTCAGCCAAATCTGAGATGTGTCGGTCAAAAGGTGTTCGGTTTGTAAAAGAATTACCCATATACAGGCGTTTTCAATTTTAAAAATATTCATATTTTGCTCCACCCTCGTAGGTATACTATGTTATAACCAGCGTTGCCAACCGTACCATAATTATGGAATTGTACAATAATTTCACTATCTTTTCCATAATTTTTTTAGGCGTACCATAATCAATAATTGTACCATAATTTTGCAACTTTGCGTTAATCCTCATTCAACGGCAAAACGATTTTTTCAGTTAATTCTTGTGATTTTAAAAATAAATGTGTAATTTATGTGTTTTAAATTTTTTATACCATTTTTGTTTTGAACAGTTGGCTATTTTGTCTGCTCAAACTGGCTAAATATAATATATTTAGCCAGTTTGAGCAGAAAAAATAGCCAACTGTTCAAAACAAAAATGGTATAAAAAATTTAAAACACATAAATTACACATTTATTTTTAAAATCACAAGAATTAACTGAAAAAATCGTTTTGCCGTTGAATGAGGATTAACGCAAAGTTGCAAAAAGAAAAGAAAAGAATATTATTCTTTTTCTATGAGTAGCTTTAAATTTAATGCATTATCAAAATTTGTGTTAAATATATTAGTAGCACCTCATTCTAATGCATCGTGCGAGAAAGTGTTTTCTAAAATTAATTTAATTAAAACAGATTTGCGCAATAAACTTTGCAGTGAAACTATTAATGGTTTACTAAGTAGCCAATTAATGGACAAAAATTGCGTTGGATTTGATCCACCGTCACCTATGTACAAGCTAATGACTAAAGAAATATATTCTAATAAGAAGACTGATGGTGGTGATATTCAATTCGAAGATCTCATTTAATTAAATTATAAAATTTAATTAAATCTTTTTTTTTACTTTAAAACCAAAGTTACTGTTAGAAATAATTATTTTTATTTGTTGAAAACATTTAAGTTTTAAATATTTTATTTTGTTTATTAAATTAGAAATGAAAATGTGGTGTTGTTTTTTTTATATTTTTTTTCTCTATCCTTTAAAAAAAACTGCCTCTTATTTATATTTTAGAAGGTGTACCATAATTTTATAAATTGTACCATAATTTTGAGGGTTGTGTACCATAATTTGTTTTCACATGGTTGGCAACACTGGTTATAACATCGTATAAATATTATTATGCTTAGTTTTAACAAATAAAAACGCAATAGAAACTTAAAACACTGAAACAAAAAATAGAGATTTCCAAAAATTCTGTATAATTAGATTTTGTAGAGAATTTTTTGAATTCTCTATTTTTCGTTTCTATTGCGTTTTTTATTTTTCAAAACTAAGCATAGGAATTAATATTTATACCATGTTACTATATATAGTACTTAGTACTTTTATAAAAGTAACTTACTATTAGTTTAATTTTGTTTTTATGGATAATCGAAATAATTATTAACTTAAGTTTTTGTAAATAGTTATTATTGTTCATTTTTAATTTGGCTAGAAAATCGTTCCTACTCAAAAAATTTCAATAAAATTTAGTATAGGGTCGTTTTAAGGGGTGGTGCCGTGCATAGATTTTTATTTTAAATCGATAATATGAATTTTTCTCTTAAAAACTGACATAGAAGGCCTTGTATTTTGTAAAAATGTGGCGTTTTTTCAGGGTTTATCAAGATCCACACTTTAAAACAATTCCGGTTAAAATCGCACAATAAATAAAGATATTTTACCGGGATGAGTTGCAAACAAATGGGCGCACTGTATAGAACAAGTTGTTAAAATATATATATTTATAGAATATCTATAGAAAATATAGAACTTATGGTAAAAGTAGAAGTAATAGATTAGGTATTATTTAAATTTTAGCGAAGACATAATGAAGTATATTGCAAGTAATTCCAGCATGCCTAAAAAAAGAATGTCCTTACGTTTGGTTGCAACTTTAACAAATGGAGTGGTTAAAATATTTAAACAGCAAGTTAATATTTGCGAAGGTAAATATTTTGGTCCAATATCCTTTAATATTAAAAACCTATTTTGTTGTGTTTTAGATGAAGTAATACGTTTTATATCTCGAGTAACAGTTCCATTAATATTCGAGTAAGATTAGATTTTGTTTTTACCTTTGTGCTAATTTATATAATTTTAGGAACATTTCTTTTATTGAGTCTAGAGGTAATTTCCATTAATCCTAAAAATAACCAAATCCAATATTGTCTTTTTCTTTCCTTTCAAAGATATTTTCCGTGAGCCAGAATCCCCAATACCTATAGGCAAGAGGAAAAGAAGGGTAAAAAAAGCAGTTGAAGTCAGTCCCGATATTATAGGTGACTTTAGACAAGCTCTAGATACCTTAGAGCAACAAACAGCTAAAAAGCAAACGCCTACAGCTAGAATAACAGACATCACCATCCAGGAAGACCTTCCTATACGCAGACCGGAAGAACAGATCGAGGGGTTTGGTGAAATAGGAGGGCTCATCCTACCAGATGCCTTAGTTAGGACGTAAGAAAATAATTTGTATTTTATACAGACCTTAGTAGGAGGTCACGCTGTTTTCTTCTTTTTAAAACAGTAAAAATCGGTTATTAAAAATTAAGTGCAGACTGTACTGGACCCAGAGCTGTTGTAAGTACCAAGAAAAAGTACTTAAGTATTAAGTACAAGTTTTTTTAATACAAACTACATACAAAAAAACTTGTACTTAAAGAAGGAAATACTTAAAACATCAATTGATGTAAAGTTGCTTAAGTAAATTTACTTGAATTATCCAAATTTAAGTACAAGTACCATATTTCACGAAAATCAGAGTCAAGTTAAAGTATTTACTTAAACTTGCAAACTTGAAATGATATTTAAGTACAAATACTTTAAAAAATAATTTAAGTATTTTTTAATAATTAATTGTTTCGACTTTTACTTGATGAAACTCCATGTTGATATAATGTTAATATAACCTACACTGTTTAAAAATTTCACTATTTTATTTAAATACACTGCAGCATCTTCAGATCTGAAGTATTTTTAGTAATTTTTTTCCGGGTACCGATTTTTACATGAATTACAAAATTCCAAAGTTAAAAGATCAAATTGTAAAACTATACCAATTCCAATCAAACCTTTTTTGTAGAGAATTCTCAATTTTGTTAAAAAAATATTCTTAAGTCAATTTTGCTAAACTCAATGGTTTGGGAGTTCTGAGACAAAAACTCGCTCAGGAAAAAAACATCTAAAATTGCGATGATAGACCTCTTAATATTAATATTATGGACTCAAACTTTCACCATAATTTTTTTTTGTCACCCCAAACAATATTTTCGATATACTTTACAAAAAAATAATAGTCGATTTTTTTGGCCCAGTCTAATGGGGGATATTCAGCATAAGCGGTATATACAAATAATGAAACAAACTCGCTTTTGTTAATGTGTTTTTATTAATAACAGGATTAACATAAACAAATATGGTGAAAAATAACTAAAACTTATTGGCTTTTAAAGTAACCAGTTTTTCGAAATTGCCGCAAAACACCATTCTCTGCACATGTCAGGAATATTCCCAGGATTATTCCAAGCGTACCAGAATATTCCCAGGAATATTCCTGGCGTAATCAAATGTCCGCTATTTGGTTAACCCAGTCATCATAAAAAGAATATTCCATGTAGCGGCTTTGTTTATCAAATCAAATCAAACAAATTTATATTAAAATTAATATCACAGTCATTTAGATCCACACATTACATTCAATAAATAAAGGAATAAAACAGTTTATTAATTTATTTTACATGGGCACAGTGGGACAAGCATAATGATGAACGTTGTGCTCATGAGGTACAAGGTGGCTCCGATTCGTTGAGGCTGATGCCTGGCGTCTCGGAGTCCCTGGCTGGGTGTTGTGCCCTTGACTTGTAGTGTGTTGATCTTACAATTCTTGATTGAGAGCTGGCCATTTCCTTCGCGTAGCGATCCAAAGGCGTGATGGGGTTGTTGAAATAATTGGCGGTAAGGGTGGGTCATTGTGTGTCGTTATTTGTAATTCAGATTATGTTTTTTAAAGGGAAAACTTTCTTAAAAAACCCTTTTTTAAGTAATTGTATGGTATTTTCTAACTTAGTTGTTTGTTGTTTTGTTGCAAATACCAGCACATATACAATGTATATTATACATACATGCATGCACATACACACATATACCGGTATTTATACATGTAAGATACATTTATAGTGATTATTAGTAATTTTGTTAAGTTGCCTTTATTTTGTGTCTGATCAGACATCGAGTGTTTTGCGATTTTTCTCTGCCGCACCGCGCAGAGAAATTATTTTATTTTCAGATTTTTGGGTTATTTTGTGTTATTTTGCTGTGAATTTTTTATATGTTGTGTAGTGGATTTTTTTAAGGATTTTATGTTTTAATTTTATTTTTGTGAGTTTATTCTTGATATTTTCGTAACTGCACATTAGGGTGATTCAAAAAAAGCCTTTTTTTAAAAATGAACCCGCACTGGCCTAAATTATAAAGATTACATTAAAACTAAAAGATTAATACCAAAAAATCCAAATTCGATGAATATTTAGAGGTCGCTCAAATCGATTTTCATATTTTTGCACATTCGAGCCGCGAAATTATTACTGCGCAAAATAGTAAATAACTCCGTTAGTTTTTATTCGATATTATTAAAAATTTAAGGGTTACCTAGTTTTTTAATACCCACTGAGACAGTGTATTGAACTTTACAGAAAAAATTTTTTTTTTCATGAAAAAAAATAATTTGTTAATAAAAACGTATCATCTTATAAAATAAGCAACAATTGGAATCGCACTATGATGGTACCGTAAAAAAACTAAGAAAATTACACTTAAATTATTTAGCATACATAAAACCTGCCGAAATAAATATTTTATTTGATTTATATAAAACATAACCTAATAATAATTAAGTTATTCAAATTTTTTCCATTTTCATACGATTTTATAAATAATTTATATCCGTTTTATTAATTATGACGTATTTTTATAATATTTCTTTATTTTTGATACCATATTTAATTAATTACACTAAGTAGTTATTAATTTATGTCCTTTTTATAATTAAAATAAAAAAATCCACTGTTCTACATCGTTTTCTTTGCAATGATTGTTTCTAATGTTAATTTTTTCAACCATTTTTTCCTTTGTTTCAGTAGGTACTCTTTTATCAAAAATGCCAAACAAATTAGCTCTTCTATTTGCAAATCTATATTTTTGTAAACATGAAGTTCATGAAGTGTTTTCAAATCATTTTTGGGCGCGCAAGTTGCGTTTGGAGCTTGGAACCAGGCAAATATCTAAACGAAATATAAAAATACAAGTTCTATGCAATGACTTATTTTCATTGTTAGTGAGTTTAAATTGATCCCGAAATAAGAAAATCTTTAGAGAGTACCTATATAGCTTTGTTCATCCATCGGGCATGCTATCTATCTCCACCAAGGTATAAGATGTTTTTCTTTAATTTCTCAACAAATTAGTTTTGGTACTTAGACCCTTTTGAATTAAGTAAATAATATATATATATATATATTTATATTTATATAATTTATCAACTACCTGCTAGTAGGTCCTACTATCAAAATTTAAGAATATTAATTATTATTGTGGTATGTCAATTTAGCAACATCTAGACAGAATCAAATAATTTTGGTATCAAAATTTGAGAATTGCTGTATGTCAATAATTTTAATAAAATTTAAATTTCTGCTTAAGCCATATCAATGCAGTGAATAATTTTGTAGTTAACGTTATTTTATTTTAGTTGTAAAAAGGACCTAATTTAATAACTACCTAGTTTAATTAAATTAATATGGTATAAAAAATAAAGAAATATTATAAAAATACGTCATAATTAATAAAACGGATATAAATTATTTATAAAATCGGTTAAAAATGTGAAAAATCTAAATTACTTAATTATTTTTAGGTTATATATTATATAAATCAAATAAAATATTTCTTTCGGCAGGTTTTCTGTATACTAAATAATTTAAGTGTTATTTTCTTAGTTTTTGTACGGTACCATCATAGTGCGATTCCAATTGTTGCTTATTTTATAAGATGATACGTTTTTATTAACAAATTATTTTTGTCATGAAAAAAAATTTTTTTTCTGTAAAGTTCAATACACTGTCTCAGAGGGTTTTAAAAAACTAGGTAACCCTTAAATTTTTAATAATATCGATTAAAAACTAACGGAGTTATTTACTATTTTGTGCAGTACTAATTTCGCGGCTCGAATGTGCAAAAATACGAAAATTGATTTGAGCGACCTCTAAATATTCATCGAATTTGGATTTTTTGGTATCAATATTTTAGTTTTAATGTAATCTTTATAATTTAGGCCAGTGCGGGTTCATTTTTAAAAAAAGGCTTTTTTTGAATCACCCTACTGCACATGTGCGGCGAAGAATATTTTTGTTTACGTCGCTCAGGTATGTTATTGTTTACAATTTTTTGTCTGAATTTACATTGGTTTGTGTAAGTTTAATTTTGGATTTAGTTTTGATTATAAACTGCTCCAGTTCGGTATTTTCGTTGTAAATTGTTAGTTTGCCGTATATGAGTTGGTGTTTGTATGTTGGCGTGTTGTTATAACGAATTTGTGTAATGTTTTTGGTGGGGGGTGAGTGCTCTATCTTGTGTCTATAAAAGTTCTCGGACAATTTAAAGATAAAATCTTGGATGTACTCAATACCGGCGTCAGTGTTCAGCTGCTCCTAAGTTGCATACCTGTCAAGGTTTAGCACCAGTCTAAGGGCCTTGTTCTGCAACTTTTGGACTTCGTTCATGGATGTTTTTGAGATCGAACGCCACACAGGGCAACCGTAAGTAATGGTAGGTCTAATTGTGGTTTTGTAAAGTAATTTAATTGTTTTAGTTTTTGTATTATTTATTTTGATTTTCCAATCATCAAAGAACTTTAGCAGGGACCTCAGGTATATCTTTATCTGTTCTGTGGCTACCTGAGAGCTGAAAGAGTGGTTATATATGGCGGTGTCATCCGGGTGCCACCCTTGCGTGCTTGGACTTGGGGATGTCCGCCGTGTATAGATTATACAACATTGGGGCTAGTACAGTGCCTTGGGGCACTCCAGCTCCGATGCTGTATGCTTTGTTTAGCTGTGCCATTGCAGACGCACATCTCCAACTGATATTTTTAACCTATCGGTATTTATAGTTATCAAGCGTGCGTAAGCACCAGTGAGAGGTATTGTAACTAAACTAATGAATATTCACTGGGAATGTTCTTAGATGGTGTTTGGAAGTTTTAGAGGATCATTCTATGATATATTCCAAATAAATATTTCTATAATGAAGCGGATTATTCCTAGGCGATAGGGCATATTCGTTGAATATTTTTACCTTCATTGCAGTCTGGGTTAGTGCATGTCTATGAGGCGCATTAATAATTTGAGCATGTGGAAATTTTTTCTCTGAGAAAGTCTTACGTTCTCTGAAAAAGTCTGAATAATACTTATTAAGTCAGAATAAGACTTATTAAGTCGGAAAAAGTCTGAATAAGTCTTATTAAGTGAGACTAATAGCAAGATTTGGGAGTCTTCTGGAAGAGTTAATAACTTTTTAAGACTTAATAAGACTTTTAGTAGAGAAATGGTAGGTTCCTATGGCGATAAAAATAAATATCCGAAATAATTCATAGAGATTGTAAGTATTTGGTTATCGTAAAATAAAACACATAGACAAGTATTTATTAACATTTTTGCTGTTGTTATAAGCCAAGTTTATTGCATAATTACCTATATACTAACATAGGTAAGAATCTTACCGTAAGATGTAATAATTATATCAATTATAATTTTATACATACGATGCGCTTAACATGCTTTCATTGTTTCCAACATAGAAAAAGGAGTTAATATCAAGTCTATAGACATGATATTTTCGATAGACTCATAAGACAAATATGGTTGATCTTCGTGTTTCATTAATCTTTGTATCATGGTTGATCTTCGTGTTTACGTACAGTGTTGCCATAAAAGTTCCTGACCATAAATTACAAAATACTAAAATAATAATAAAAATGTAACAAGAATAAAATAATTGTGCATATTTAGTAAATATACAATATTATTTACTGAAAATTTCTTTTGTTATTATTTTGATAGAAATTTGCAAATCACCCGCAAATATTATGAAAATACCCGATTTTCGAGTAAAATACTTGCAAACGGCAACACTGTGTCCCACTGACAGGTCAGCTGTGCTCTAATTGGTCAGCTAGCTAAGCTGGTCTCTCGATATTACGTCTTACGTCTATTGTTTGTAACAATGTTTAGATAGGTAAATATTTGCGTGTATCAAAAGAAACTATTAAAATAAAACGTACAGTGGCAACTCCTTTTTCTATTGTGGAAGCATGCATGTCAAGCGCATCGTATGTATAAAATTATAATTGTTATACCTAATTATTACATCTTACCTATGTTATTATATAGGTAATTATGCAATAAACTTGGCTTATAACAATTGTTAACAGCAAAAATGTTAATAAATACTTTTCTATGTGTTTTATTTTACGATAACCAAATACAACCTCTATGAATTATTTCGGATATTTATTTTTATCTCCGTACCATTTCTCTACTAAAAGTCTTATTAAGTCTTAAAAAGTCTTATTAACTCTTCCAGAAGACTCCCAAATCTTGCTATTAGTCTGACTTAATAAGACTTATTCAGACTTTTTCCGACTTAATAAGTCTTATTCTGACTTTTTCCGACTTAATAAGTATTATTCAGACTTTTTCAGAGAAAGTAAGACTTTCTCAGAGAAAAAATTTCCACAAGGGCAAAACTAAAAAGGCGCTTAACAGGAGCTGATGACGGAAGGATTGTACCTATTATACAATAACTAAGCTATGGTTAAACGGATTTTAAAAACAAAAAAAGTGTTAAATAGAGAATTAAAATACCTTTCAAATGAGGTACCTATCACAAGCACCCCCTTTCCATTTGAAATTTTCAAGTTGATACTGCCCTCTAGGCACTTGTTCGGCAAAAAAATTTCATACTGACGTAAAAAAGTAGTAAACACAATATTGTTTACCCTGGTTTTTGTCCGACATCGATATCTTTTTTGGTTCAAAAGTTAACAGTGGGGGGATTTTAACGCGCTCACTATTAATTATTTAAATATAAAAAACATAAGTAAATCCATTTTAATTAACAATCTAGCTTTATTACCGTTTATAAACGTATACAACATCTGACATTGATAATTTTATTAAGAAATGGCGGCACCATATAAAATATTACGGGTCCTCAATAAAACTAGTTTTATTATTAGCTAATAATAAACCATAAAGTGAAAAACTATTTTTTTTTCAAAGAATTAGGATTGAAGAAATTGAAATTTGAAAAAGTAAAAATATTTACTTTAAGTATTTTAATAACACTTAAGTACAAATTTTTGAATGTTTGAAGTAAAATATACTTGAATGATATTTTAAGTATTAAGTACAAGTAAAATTTGAAAAACATAAAATTGCAAGTACAAATACCAACGTTTGTATTTGTACTTAAGTCAAATACTTGAAGTATATTTTGTAATTAAGTATTTAACATACTCAGTACAACAGCTCTGACTGGACCTCATCATAATGGGGTTCTAGGCCCTAGAATGTAGGGTAAAAATATCAAGTAAATCTATTGTTTGGCCAACAGGCAAATTTAATGGTTATGCCTTTTTCATATGCAGTGGTTTATGTCTCCCACACCCACCTTTCTGTTAATTCAATTATTGGTCTTTGATTGCTTTTCTTTAAAGGACCAGTTCTTTTTTATTTAGATCACAAGAAATTATGCAAATAGACCTACCCTTCTATAACGAGCAACCTGCGGAAAAAGATTTGAAGGAGAGAGAAAGCTCTTCACCGGATGCTCCAGTCGATCAAATAGTTACCTGTATCGCCCAAGTTTTAAGGGAAAATGAACCAATTGATCAAACACAGCAGATCGACGAAACAATATTGGTTCAACATCATATGCATCAAATACCAGATATAGTGGTTATTCAACCGGAAGTTCAACAGCAATCGGAAGTTTCTGTGCAAGTTGTGCCTCAAGATACGTTGATGCCGGATGTACAACCGGAAGTAGTACCCTCCGAATTTACTATAGAAGTTGAGCAACCAAGAAACGCTGCGCGACCTAGGAATGTTGTGGGTAGTTCTGAGGAGGAAAGGATACGCCGAATTCGTAAACAATACGAAACAAGTCCTGTAGAATCATTAGTAATCAGAAATTATTAGAATATAGTGTCCAGAAAATACGTGTTTTCGGGACACTGGGTAAAATTTACTTAAAACACGATTTTTCTATATTTTAGGAAGTTGGGCCATTGCAAAATTTTATAAATCGTAAAAGACGTATACCACGTTTTGTAAAAATAAATCGTTGGAACGTAAGAAGTGACTAAATTTTTAATTAAGGTCCACATAACAATTGTTTCATTTTTAAGTATGGCGACAGTTATAAAAGGAAATATCCTTCCATAGAAACATTGATAAGAGCAGCAGTAAAACCAGATCCTGCATTTGCAGTATTTAAGCCGGAAATGGTTTTTGATGATGTAAGAGGTGTTCACTCAATATCCGGGCAAACAACTAGGTATTTTTAATTTTAAAACATTATTACAAAAATAACAAATTTAATTTTAGAGGATCATCTTTGAGAATCTCTGCCACAGACCGAACAGACTCATTGGGAACGCCTCAAGCCGACCTTGCTAAAACATATATGTATCAATCAACACCTCTCAAGAGACCATCCAGTCAAGAGTAAATATTTATACCAATACAATACATAATTTTAAACAACCTCGTTTTAATATGTTTTAGGGTTGAACTTGGATCACATGGAAAACAGCAAAAATTGTAAGAACAATAAAAACATTTATACAGGGGTCTCAATCAAGCTTCTGAGCTATTAAGCATTTTTAAAGCTTTTTGAGCTTTTAAACTGTTTTCAAGCTTCAAATTTTAAAAAAGTTTTGACAATTTTGTAAATTTAAACATTTTAAAATCCTCCCAAATTAACTACAGTGCGAATTTTTCAAACCACTTTTACGCTTTAAATTTGGGGAATTTCAAATGTTTTGACAATTTTTCAAATTTTGAAATCATACCATTTTTTATTTTTATGCTACTGTGCCAATTTTCCCCACAAATTTTAAGCTTTTAAGCATTTTTAAAGCGTTTTTTAGCTTTCAAACAATTTCAAGCTTCAAATTTTAAAAATCCTGCCAGTTTTTCAATGTGATTTAATCCGAGGTTTAATTTTAAACCCCGAGTTAAATTTGGAGTTAACTAAATTCGCGTTTTTCAATTAATTTTGATCCCCGAGTTTATATTAAACTCAGAGTTACTTTAATTCCCAGAAAGGGTACCTATGAGTTAAGTAAGAATTAAAATAAAAAGAGGTTAGGTATATATCGTTCTGTTGTGAGTGTTGTGTTAAATGATAATGTGGGACTATGATGTAAATGCCTATAGTAATGATGAAGAGAACTTTAGAAGACCAAAAGTTATTTGTCCAAGAGAAATCATTTTGAAATGTGGGACAATATTAATTTTCTAACCAGATTTCGGTTGTCTCCAAGAACGGTAGAAAATATTTTAGAGGAAATTGTTGATGTAATACCTACAATACAGGTGAAAAGTTTATTTAGCAAAAATTATTGCGAGACGGCTCTCAGCTTATTGAATCCTTCTAAATGTCATATTTTAATTTTGTTCGTTGTAGAAATGACGCTTTATCCGCGGAAACCCAATTATTGCTTACCCTGCGGTTTTACGCCACGGGTTCTTTTGTCTTGAATTAACTGTTCGTTTAGCCCCGTCAACGGCTGGGTAGTACCCATGGCTTTCTTGCCATTTCCTAATTTTTTATGCATTTTACTTTCTTTTTAGCCAAAGAAAAAGTTGTAGATCGAGCCTTTTTTTGAGCGGTTCAGTATTACATATAGCAGTTTTATTACACGACATCACTGCCTTCAAATAAATATACCTAATAAATTGCAGCACATTTTCCTCTAAAGCAAAAAATAAACTTACCGTAATCTTAAAATTGTAAAAAAACGCAAAACAGAGTCAAAAATGACGTTGGCATGCAGCCGTTACCATGACAACCCATTACCAACTTTACAAATTTTATACAAACCTAGAGTTGATAAATCCTCACTATGATTGTAATTGAAAAACCCAAACGCGACCTAAACTCGGAGTTGACTTAAGTCAGAGATAAGCCAGAGTTATTCAACTCTGGATTTAACTAGCCTATTGAAAAACTGGCCCTTAGAAGTTATGAAAAATTTTGACAATTTTGTAAATTTTTGAAAATTTTAAATCCCACCAATTTTTTTATATTTATACTACTGTGCAAATTTTAAGCTTTTTTTAGCTTTCAAACTATTTTCAAGCTTGTAATTTTAAAAATCTTTGTTTTAAAAAATTGGAATGTTTTGACAATTTTGTAAAGGGTTTTTGGGGTCGCCGATTACGATTTTATAAATAAATGTATACATTTATCCAAATAAGTAAATTTACAAATTAATTTGCATGCATTAAAAGATATAAGGGTTTTTGTATAAATGTGAGTGAATTTGTATGCATTAAAAGATACCTATAAGGATTTTATTCTACTTGACAAACCCTTTCATTTCAAGGAGGTTATAAACAAATATGTTCCGCCATCTTCGGGTGCCGACATATTGGATTTAGTATGACGTAACTCAATTCAACGTTTTGTATTCGTTAAAGTCTGATTTATAGATTGCCTTCCTTTCTCCCGTAGAAGATGAACAATACAAAAACCTGTTGTCCCGTATGGAAAATAAATGGCACAACGTTTTTCGTATTGTTCATCTTATACGGGAGGGAGGAAGGAAGGAAGGCATTTTTCTTTGATACCCATTACAAGGAGGTTAAAAAGAAAAAGGCAGGCGCGTGCTGGCCCACCGGGCGACCGGGAGTTTCCCGGTGGGCCCTCATAAATTGTCCATAAAGGGCCCCACGACCCCGACGCGTGATAAATTTAAGTTAGCTGTTACTAGCAGGAACTTGTAACAAAACCGCGTATATAAATGAAACTTCGTTTCTGGCGTTATCATTTTGATAACAGAAGAGTAACGACAAAATGGTACTTTTTGTGTATTCTTGTTGCACGCGTTAGATGCTTCTTTCAATGTCAATTGCACTCTGCCACACCCTCCTTTCTTGACATTTTTTGTCCCCTCTTCAACGGGGTACTACCAATAAGATTTCTTACTTTATGGCGCGCTTATTTAGCTAAAGGTAACAAAACTAGCAAAACTCTAAGCAGAACCGAAACGAACCAGCAACGCCACCTGAGTAACGAAATCGTAACAAAGCCTCTTGGTACAGAAACTAAACTAGTAACGTTTCTCCTGTATCGAAGAAAACCATTAAGTACCTACTAGGTACTACCTAGTAACGTTTTCTGTTGATGAATGAAGCAGCGTACTTATAAAATACCTTTATAATTTTGTAAATATTGTGCGACTCGTGGGAGAAAGAGGAGATTCCTTGAACGTGAAGTTAGTAACACGCCAAAATCGTTAACAATGTTTTATTCAGTTACCGCAGGAAATATATATTCTTTCCTGCGCCACATGATCATCAGGTATACCTAATTGCGTGAGTTACCCGCACCATTTTCCCACGCGTCCTAATTTCTCGATTTACCCGCGCTACTTTATTTACCTGTGCGACTTACTTATGTAGATTCAAAAAATACTTGTCTCCAATATGACGAACTGACGAACCGTGTAGACTGTATTGTCACTACCACCAAAAGTGTGTTCAAAGTTTTAGCTTAATCGGTTGGATAAAAGTAGGAATATGCATGCGCGCTGCCTTCCTTTTCATTTTTTATAACGCCAAGTTTTGGTTTACCCCGTCTGCAAAGAAGTTCCACTAAAAAATGTCCATTAAACTTTCGTCCTTAAATCCGTTGTTTTTTTGGAGATGTCGCACATTGTCACCAAGCCTCAAACCCCTTATTGTCACACAGTGTAACAAATGCGTGACTCGTCTTCTCACCAAGGTGTGACGTTTTTATAGACTCCCAACCAGTGGATGGATATGTATACATTGTAATAAAATTTAATTATTTTTAGGATGGAATTGGAGCCTTCCTTAATTGAAAACATACAAGCACCAGTACTGGAACAGGTGTCTGTTTCAATTGTTCCAATGGAACAAGTTCCAGAGGTTTCAGCCATACCAGGACAGGATACCTTGGCAGAACAACCCATTGCCCATGTGGAACAGACCTTAGTTGAAGAACACGTTCCTGTACCTGTTCTCATGGAGAGAGATATTATTGAGGAAGTGATCCCTATAGAAGTTAGGGTTGAAGAACAATTAATAATCCCAGAATTGGAAAAAACAACTACAGTAGTGGAAATTGCACCGACGGTTAAGAAAGTTGATCCCAAAGTTTATTTTGAAAATAGGTAAGAAATATGAAAAGAAAATATTATAATACTTTTGCCAGAACACGGTAAACAAGAAATGTTTAGTTGCTATTAATTTTTTGTAGGCACAAGGGAATTTTAAACAAAGTTAAAAGTTGGAATATAGAAGAACAAGGTATTTTGGGTTTGGAAGAAATAGCAGAAAAACCGTTAACAAAATTAACAGTAGCCAGAGCATTTTCCGACGTTTTGCAATTATGCAAATTAAGATATTTGGTATTATACCCTGAAGAAGATTCCAACCAGTTAAGAAGCATTGAAAAAGGTTCAAAATTATGTTAGAACATTATTAAAATGCACCCCTGCACTCATTTGTTGATTTTTTCATTAAATTAAATTACTAAAAAATGTTTTAAAATGCTACTTTAAATAGCTACTTAATATTTAAATATTAACTAATTTATTAATTTTATCAATTAACTAAATGCTTAAAAAGCCCAAAGATTTTAGTTTACACATTACATGTGTAAATATTTATTGTTCATGTTTCATGTTTTTTTTTAAACTGTTTGAATTAAAATTAAGTTAAAACTGTTACATAAATATTTTAATATTAGTTAAATAATTTTTAATATAATGTAATAATCTACAAGATTCTACATAGACATATCTACGCATGAATTTTTAAATTGTTTATAATAATATTACAAGTTTAAAATAAAATTTCAAAAATCACATTTTAATTTTTTTATACAACCTAAAGAGAAAATCCTGGAAATTTGGCATCCATTGGCCGTTGTATGTCTAAAAGAAAATACATGGGACCTGCTATGCCTTCAAAGAGTGACAGTGGTCTATCTGGAGGTGTTTCTTCATGAGCCTCATTATAATCTAGACACCATTCCGCAAAACGTATCGCCCTGTATAGATGTTTTTCATCCTGGAAATAAATCATTACACTGTTTGACAAAATAACAATTTTTGTTTGACACAGGGTAATTGGAGGAAAATATTCCAAAAATGACAATAATTTTTTATCCATAAAATGTTAAATTTGAATAAACATTTTCTCAAAAAAAAACAACAATTTTTTTATTATTATTAACTAGATACCGCATTATTCAAAAGTTTTGTAACTTTTATTATAACTTAGTACTTACACTTTTTTCAGGACACCCTGAATACAAAAGCTTATTTGCAAATTGTAAACATTTACAAAACCAAAAACATTTTAAGGAATTAAAGTACTATATAAATAACATTTAAATTTAAAACAATTCTCTTGAAATCAAACTAAAAATTATTTTATTTTATTAAGCTATGCATTTATAGTTTTATTTCAAGAGAATTGTTTTATGTTTAGACATTATAATTAATAATTTACTGTTAAAATGACTATAGGTTATATTTGTGACATTTACATCCCAAAACACAACCATTGCTTTCAAGGCAGTACCTTCCCAAACAGCACACAGACGTCCACTGGATATCCCTAGGACGCCATAGAGGACGTCCTTCGGATATCCGAAGACCACGAATGGATGTCCGTAGACACTTTTGGTTGTCCTTTGGCCTTCCTATTATGGTCTATTGAAGACCGTCCTAGGACCAAATGTGGCCATAATTTGGCTGACAGAAATAAAAAATAAAACACCTACAATTTTTAACTAAACATATTTATTCACCTAACTACAGCACAAATGTTTGTGGTACAGTCTATTAGTCAAGACAAACCTAAACAAATTACTTACTTGAATTCTGGGTACAACCAACTTCTAAGAAAATTTCTATGGAGTTGTTGGCAACGACAAAACATGAACACGATCTTCAAGCTGCTTATGTTAACATACAATTGTTGTTTATGAAAAGAAAATTATTAATAAAGCACGAAACAGCACGTAAATACCTTCTTTACCTCTGGAAAATACCGATAAATACCAAAGAGCAGAGAAGCAGTGTTGCCAACAGTCTATTGTAAAGAGTCTCAACCAAGCTCTTCAAAAGTCGCCAGAAATCGCTAAATTATTTGGCACTTAAAAATCGCCAGATGTCGAAAATTTAAAAAAAAGAGAAAAAAAAGTTTAAAGTGGTTGCAAAATTTTAAACAGAATTGATTTTTCATAAAGAAAGAATTTTAACGTGGTTGTAGTAAAGAACACTAGAAAATGGCATTATCTTGTCATTACACAAAAATAATTAATAATTATAATTGTTAACAAATATTTTATTTAAATAACATAACATAAATCATTAAAAAATCAAGTCATTCTAAAATAAGAAAAATAAATAAAATATATAAAAATAAATAATTCTTAAGTTAAATAAAAAATTAAAAAAAAAAATAGTTTATTAATAAATTTTCCTCGAAATTTTCAAGAAATTCAGTTGATTTTGCATCGTCATTAATATAAGCCTGCAAAGTGCCAAAATCCCTTAGGATTTTCCATAACACAGATTATAAAAGAATAAATAAATAATGGGATTTGACAATTGCCCGGCTATTTTTTCAGTTTTTGACGAATGACGTACGGATGCGTCGTTGCCAAGTTGGCCATGCCAACGTAACAAATTTTAATTTGAAATTATTTTGTTGTATTTTGTTGTTTTGTTTAAAAACAAATTTCATTATCAATGTTAAAATGTCTCCAAAAATGTCGCCAACACAATGTGAAAAACGCTAGGTTTGAGACACGTCGCAAATCATAAAAAAATGTCTCAAATGGCTACCTCAAAACGCTAGATCTAGCGACAAAGTCGCTAAATTGGCAACGCTGCAGAGAAGAAATACCACCATACGCCATCAAAAAGAACGCCATTGGCAACGGATTATGGGAAACGTCGTCACGAACCCGTTCGGTTCTACCCGAAGAGGACCGATGTATTTAAATAATTTAAACGATTGAATAACGAATAGATATTATAAACTATATTTAATAATAAACTTCTGTTTTTTGTAAATGAATCTTTCTTATAATAAGGCTAATCGATTTGATTGTCTCTCTGAGGCCCCCTCAGGCTGTCCCACGAACATCCAAAGAAGGCAAAAGAGTAACCGCATAAAAATAGGTGGTTTATATAATTCGTACCTACTTACATGATATTTCTCACAATTTTCTCGGCTTAGCCAGACCAAACGGGTCTGGGACATCCATAGAACGTCAAGTCTAGACCCAGTCCGGCTTAGCCTTATTAGGCGTATTTTGGACGAAAAAGGGTCAGAAAACAAGCCGTTTTATAAATTTCCCTGACTTTTACCATAATATTAACAAATTCCCTGACTTTTGCGCTGACTTTCAAAATTCCCTGACTTTTCCCTGATTTTATTGGACTTAAACGGATTCCCTGACTATTCCAGGTTTTCAAGGATTTCCAGGTGAGAGGGAACCCTGATCTGGGTTGTAACTGACATTTTATGAAAATGCATTTTTATGTAGAATTACCAGGTCAATCTATAGAATCTATAGTATAGATATAACGCAACTTAAAAGCCAAATACTCAAATATTTTGCTCAACATACGAAGTTATGCGTTTTTTGTATTTGTTTGTATAAGGTACTGCCGTATAGCCCTTAAAAAGTCAAATGACACCGAGGTGTGCCGTCGGCGTCTCTTACAAGGCGTACGGATGCACTGGGCACTGTATACTTTTAGCATGAAAATATGGTAGGTATATTATTAAAATGAATTTTTTAAATTTTGGCACCTAAAGAGGGAATACAAAACGAATTTGAATTATTTGCGCAAATATTTCATCTATTACCTATATTAAATTCTTCATTTATTATATAAATGTGGGATTATACCTGTGTTATTTTGTAAAGTTCGAGAAAACAGTACCCATTTCCAGAAACCCCATGACATAAACTGTAACCTTTCCGTAAAAGTCCGCGCTTCCAAATAACATCACCACATAATATGGCTAATTCCAAATAAGCAGGATTATTAAAAACCTAAAAAAATTAAAAACAATATTTAGCCAGTTGACTGAAGGAACACTACTCAAAGATAGAATACTAAAAAATCCCACATAACACAATATGTTTTAAAAATCTGTGACACTATCAGAAATACTCCAGGAATTTTTCTAAGGGTACGAAACTCAATGAAGAGAAGAGCTGAAGCATGCATACTTGCAGGTGGTGGCCACTTTCAACCAGGGTTGTGAACCGGTCCAAGAACCGCTTGTTTGTTACGGACCGGTCCGTACCCAAAATAAACAAGTTATAATTCTGGACAGGTCCATGGACCGTCCCGTTTTTAAAATTACTTGGACCGGTACAAATTTTGGACCGAACCGTTTTCAAGTGTTTTGGAGCGGTACTGGACCGGTTTAAACACTTTGAACCGGTCCAAACATTTGTATTATTAGATTATTTCCACTCCTATTTCATATTATTGACATTATTATTATTACTGTGATTTGAACCAATCGGATTTTAAATTGGAAAAACTGAGATTGGAACTAACAGATGTCAGATTTTTTTTATATATTATATGGGCCATTCCACCAAATAAAGTTTTCTTTTGTTGGCCCTCAAAGGGATAACTGCTCTAAACCCAATTTTCATATAATAATATACATATAATAATTTCGTAATAGGTACACAGTACGTGCTGGTATAAGTATATATAAATGGCGTCCACGCCAGGTCGGGTTGTCCTCCGTGACATTGTTCTTTCTTAAATAGGACACTTTAAATTCTAAAATTTGACGAAATGGCTTTTAGCAACGTTGCCAGGTTTTTTGATAGCCGTCCAAGACAGTTTTTTTGTCAGGGACCGTGCATATTAAACAGTATTACATACTTATTTAAATTTTAATTAATCATTATGTATTCGCATTATTGCGCAGTGTGTACCAGATGTTTTTTTATGCGCAGTAGGTACCAGTTTTTTGGGTCCATGCGCAGTAAGCACCAGGTGGTTTTATGTGTGCGCACTGTGTACCAAATGATTTGATCTATGCGCAGTGGGTACGAGATTATTGTGTCTTTGCGCAGAAGGTACCAGGTGATAGATTTTATGCGTAGTGGGTACCAGGTGGTGGTTTCCATACGCATTAGATACCAGTTGGTTTTATGTGGGCGCAGTGGGTACCAAATTAAAAAAACAAATATCGTCAAAATTCGAAAAATAATTACTATAGTTAATATTAACAGCTCAAATCTTCAGAATCTATAGAAAGGTTTAATGATTAATTATTAAAAAAAAACTAAATACTATCAATATAATAAGTTATTCACGAGAAAGCGATTTTCCGAAAATTTAAATTATTTTCTGAAAATTTTTTGTAATTGGTAAAATAAATATAAAAATCTAACGTGGAATGATAAATCTAACATTATTTCTAGGGGGACAAATTTTAATGTACGTTTCATGAAAAAATTAAGTAAATTAAGTGAAAAAACAATAATGGTTTTTTTACAATTATTGTAAATCAACGAGAAGTGATTCTCTCCATCTTCCGTTGTTCAGAACGGCAACTGTCAAAATGACAGGTGTCAAAATAAAGGCTGTCAAAAGAAGTTGTAAAAATAACTGGTGATAAAATGACAGGGGCCCAAATAACAGCTATCAAAATGACAGGATCCAAATAAAAACTGTCAAAATGACACGTGCCGAAATGAGCTGTCAAAATGACAGTTGCTGAAAAAACCTTATCCGAGCAAAGCCGCAAGTATACAGCTATTGAATAAATCACCTTTATCTAGTGAATCACCATTTATAAGATTTGGAGCAATCCTAATCCACATTTGCTCCATGAGACCCACAAAAAAGTTGATTAAACAATTTTTTTGTTTTTCTCTTAATTTACCTAGTTTAAAAAACTGACCAACAGATTTATGAGAAAATTACAGTATCTTATTAAGAATTAAAAGACCTTTAAAACGATATCACTCACCCCCGTGCAATTTAAGATTTTGGGGGCGGGTGGGGTAGAGCGCGTAGGGGTGCGGGTGGGGTCGTACAATAAAATAAAAATTGACGTGCCACATTCACCCTTTAAAACGTTTGGGAGGATACGTTTTCGTTCGTTCGGACCGGTCCATGGACCGGACCGTTTTTGGCGGTCCACACTGTCATTGTTCCAAAACTGACCGGTTCAGTCGAACCTATTTTTGCTGGACCGGTCCAACACAAACGATCCGGTTACATGGACCTTTTTTGGAACTGAACCGCTGGCGAACCGGTCCATGGACCGAAATTTTGTTACGGTTCACAACCCTGCTTTCAACAGCTAATCTAAATTATTTTTGTTTTTGTTTACGTTATTTAATGTTAGTTCTTTTAAAATTATTTTGTAATTAAATTTAATTTTAATGTTTATTAAATTTTAATCATGGCATTGTTTTCTTAATATGCGCATTAAATGCTTTTTATTTTTTTCATCGAAAACCGTTAGTCGTACGATAAATGGTCAAGAAATCAAATTTGCCCTAAAATGAATGGGGATTTAAAAAATAATTTTTATTTTAAAAAATAGCAGTGGCGTGCATATTTTTTCAAAAATAGACCACATCCTGTACGGACGCCACTGGTAAAAAAATAAAAATCTTCTACATCAAAAACTTACTGTTAATGCTTAGAAGGCGTGTGCAAAATTTTATAAAAATATCTAGGTTATTAAAGTTATGATAAAAAAACGATTTTTTTCTTAAAACTTTAACACCTTGTAACTCAAAAATTAAGAGGTTTAGGTCATAGGTTCACACACTTATAAGGTTCAGCATCTTATTCTGAAACACCCTGTATAGCTGTTTTAAGGCAAAAGTTGTAAATTTTTTATGATTAGTTGATGAATTTTGATGTTTAAATGTTTTATTACCGGTCTGGTGACATTGTCATGTCCTGGAGTAGTGTTTTTTCCTTTTGTAATTTTCTCAAAATATAGATCTATCCTCTTTTATCTTAGGTGGGTTGTTATTGAATTGGGTATTTTTGTATGTGTTGTGCCATTGGTTTACCCTTTGGTAAAAGTAATCGTCGAAATTATTATTGTTTTCTTCTTGGTATGCTGATTTAAAGTGATTATGAAAACTATTTACCTTATCTTTATCTTCTGTGAACTTAATGTTATTTTCAATAATTGTGCTGTTCTTTTTGTGTTGTGTTTTGTATTTGGAAAGTCTTTTTATTTGGCTCCAGTATTTTTTTCCATTAAGTTGATTTATTTCTTTGCAAGTATTTATCCATTTAAGTTTTCTGAATTCTTGTATAAGTTGTTGGATGTCTTTGTTAAAGGGGGTAGCGGGGTAAGGGGGGTCTGGCGGCCCCCACCGAATCTGGTAAAATCGTTCCAAAAATCTTGAAGAGGGTCGAAAAACAAGCAGTATAAGCTTTTTACCGACATTACAACCCCAAACGAAAACACAGTAATGGCGAAAAATATGATTTTTTGTGATTTTTTATTTTTTTCAACCAGTTTAATTTATTTTTAAATGGTTTTAAACGCAATTAAAAATTTGTTTTGGATGTATGGTAGTCCCCTGAATTTTTTCAGATTTTTTGGTCAAGTAAAAACATGTGAATTTTAGGTTTAAATGCGAAAAAATCGTGAAAAACGCGTCATTTTCAAGATTCAACCCTCTAATTTTTAGGGTTGTTTTCATTTTCCTGAGGGGTGCTGTATAGTATAGATAGCGGCAATCGTCCTCTTTTGAATGCAGGCAACTGGACTCAATTTGGTCAATTCTGGTGAGCGGGGCGATTTTTTGAAAAAACTCGAATTTTCAACTTTCGGTAAATTACGGCGCGTACTTGGTATAAGGGGGGGGTAAGGTATTAAAATTTTTTTTTTCGATTTTTTTTTTTATTTTTCTAATCGAATGCATAATATCTCAAGAAGATTGTGTTAAAATTTCAAGTCGATCGGGGCAAAATTGACGAAGTTATGAGTATTTCAGCGTCCGTTGCCAGCCTGAGGTTTTATACCTGAGCGACAGCTGCGCGACGGCCGGACGCTGACTCATCCGGCCCAAACAGGCCTGTTCAGGTAAAGTCGAGTATATTCGAGGCATGATCTATGCATCAGTTAAACGCTGTATGCTAGTGATGTAAATATTCGTATCTTTTTGATATTCGGATAATACGTATTCGGAACCAAGAGATATTCGGATTCACTGTCCGGATACGTATCTATGATCTATAAGTTAAATCATAAAATGCGCAACGTGCAAGCGGGTGGCACGGCGTAAGGAATGCAGAGAGGGGTTTGTTCTGTGGAGTGGAGTGTCTGGTACTTTTTAACAAAACAAAGAGTTTAAGTTTAAGTTGATTTTTTTTAATTACTATGGTAAACACCTACTAGTTAACCAAAGAATGTTATCCTTGTTTTATTTTTTATATTTTAAAGTTATGCCTTGATTGTCTGGTAATTTTAAATAAATAAAAACAATATTTTTATACATCATGTCTTTATTTTTTAAATAAGCATAGTACGCCTATGTTATCGTAAGTAGCGGACTCAGACCAAGCGCCTTTCCCGCGATTCCGAATGCGCCGGTTGTAACCATCCGCACTCGGCTTTTCATAGCGCATTTGCTTCGCGCATTCGAAATTTGTTTCCGTATAAATTTTGATTCCGAATCCGTATTCGAATTTACAGATTGATTCCGGAATATCCGGATCCTTTAAATATTCGGATTCAACGGATATTTGGATACGTATTCTTACATCACTACTGTATGCCGTGCTGAGCAGTAACAAGTGACGCTAAAATTTTGACTCTGTTTTCCTTCGTGTTGATACTTCGAAAGTTTGACTACTTTGTTATCGTTCGTGTTCGTACCTCGAATTTTATCTTGAATACTTCAGTACGCAAAACTTTAAAGCGTTTTTCTGAGACTTGTCATTTTTGAAGTCCGTGCCCACCATAACTAAAAATCTACTGGACCAATCGTTTTGAAATTTTGCACAGTGTTTCTTCACATAATTCCCCAGGTATTGTCGAGAGCTTTTTTTTTTTTCAATAATTATCAATTTTACAACAGCAAATTAGCCGTTTTTTTTAGCGAAAATCTGGTTTTTGGCTTCCAAGTGCTACGAAAAATCGAAAAAAAAAAAAATCCTCTCGTGAATACCTCGACAAACATCTCCTTTAACGAATGCATTTTGATTTTTTTGTTTCAGATGATTTGGCTGCGAGTTATGATGGGCACCGCAAAACAACTTTTTCTCGAGGCGCCTCCGGAGATTCACTGTCACTCGCTCAATTTTTGATATTTTGCAATGAAAATTTAGGAGAATATTGTTCTAATGTTACATTATCATGTATGGATCGACTGAATAAACTAACACCATCTGTATTGCCAAAAAAAAATCTTGAAAACATGCCTTTTTTTTACCGAATTAACCTTACCCCCCCCCCCATAATGCGTCTTTGCTACAAAAAATACATCTCTATAGGGGTTTTTGAGGTCGCTGATCACGAATTTGATGTCAAAAAAATTTTGACAACAAATTCACCCATAATATTTAAATATTTATTAATACAGGTTTGATAATTATAATGTAAAAAATATCATTGAATCACAGCATTTAAACAATTTTAATATCATGTTCAACTAATATAATCAATGAAACTAAATTTTCTGGTATAAATCATATTTTATTCAAGCTTACGAAATAGTCACATAGTAATATAAAATAGCATAATACTTTTTTACAGAGCTAAGTTAACAATTTTACAGTTTTAATCCTCGTCACTATCTTCTTCAATAACATATTCAACGCATTGAACAGAGAAAAGATTTGTGAGAATCTGTGCTTGGCGAATAATTCGCGACAAATATCTTTGTTGTCAAAAAATTTTTTTGACATCAAATTCGTGATCAGCGACCTCAAAAACCTCTATAGAGATGTATTTTTTATAGCAAAGACGCATTATACCAAGTACGCGCCGTAATTTACCGAAAGTTGAAAGTTCGAGTTTTTTTAAAAAAATCGCCCCGCTCACCAGAATTGACCAAATTGATTTCAGTTGCCTGCATTCAAAAGAGGACGATTGCCGCTATCTATACTATACAGCACCCCTCGGGAAAACGAAAACAACCCTAAAAATTAGAGGGTTGAATCTTGAAAATGACGCGTTTTTCACGATTTTTTCGCATTTAAACCTAAAATTCACATGTTTTTACCTGACCAAAAAATCTAAAAAAATTCAGGGGACTACCATACATCCAAAACAAATTTTTAATTGCGTTTAAACCATTTAAAAATAGATTAAACTGGTTGAAAAAAATAAAAATCACAAAAAATCATATTTTTCGCCATTACTGTGTTTTCGTTTGGGGTTGTAATGTCGGTAAAAAGCTTATACTGCTTGTTTTTCGACCCTCTTCAAGATTTTTGGAACGATTTTACCAGATTCGGTGGGGGCCGCCAGACCCCCCTTAACCCGCTACCCCCTTTGTTTATTCTTGTTTTAAAGTTTGGGTCCAAGTTTATTCTATATTCTCTGTACATTTTACATTTTGTTTGATATATTTTACGGAAATTTTACGAAAATTAAAGAAACTAGTTTCTCTTCTAAAAATTTTATGAGCCAAAGGTATTTTTTATTTGTTTTCCGATGCAATTATAGCAAAAATAAAAGTTTAAATTAATCAACTTTTTTTAAAGTTTGATTTACAAATTAAATTGGTAACCGAATTAAATTATTTAAATTAATTTATACCAACCCTGCATATAAGTAACAATAATTACTTATAGTGTATTCAAATCCAAGCCTAACCAAACAAAAACGTCCAGATGCTTGATAACTCGTTCTTATTGATTGATTCGGAATCTATTGTAAATTATTATTAAAGGTACCATGTGAAATTTATTTATGCGAAATTTTTAGTAAATTGCGAAACTTTCAAAAATTTCTGAAAGTTTCACATGCAATGTTGAAATTTTCGGCTTGCAAATTACATTTGAAATTTTTAAAAATTTCACTTTTTCAACTTAATGAAATATTTCAATTTTGAAACTTTCAAAGTTGAAATTTTTATTTGAAAATTTTAACTGTCCCAACCCTAGATGCATATGCTAATGACTAATATTTATAAAATATTTAGTTCATTTAGCAAAAATATTCATTCAATATTATAAATGGGTCAGAATTTCTCAAACGGGCCACCTGAATTAGGTCAAAATTAGTTTTTGATTGTAGATACATTTTTTCGATAGTATTTTACATCACTAACACAAATCCTAAAGGATTTTGTAAAAAAAAAATTTTCAATTGACATATTCATGATATTAAAAGTAAAAGTTTTTAGTAATTAAAAAATAAAAAAATTCATTATGGCTGAACTAATTATCCGATTCCAACGATATAACTAGCGTTGGAATCTTGTTTTGACATAGATTCTTTGTTATTTTTTTCAATTGTCCTATTTTCATTTAGGTCGATTTTTTTTTGTTTTTTTATACCAAATTCGGAAATAATTGCCTTCTGCGCCAGCTATCGACTCGAGAAAAAAAACACATATACTCCAATCATTTCTCGAAATTATGCTGCTGAGAAAAAAAATGGCCCGCAGGTTGACAAAAAGTTATTCGTCCTTTTGTGGCCGCGCGCGGTGTCAGCTCACGCTCCGAACCGTATACGCTGTACGCGCTTGTGACGCGACGTCTTACGGTGGTCTGGAACCTGCGGGCCATTTTTTTTCTCAGCAGCATAATTTCGAGAAATGATTGGAGTATATGTGTTTTTTTTTTCGAGTCGATAGCTGGCGCAGAAGCCAATTATTTCCGAATTTGTTATAAAAAAAACAAAAAAAAATCGACCTAAATGAAAATTTTACAATTGAAAAAAATAACAAAGAATCTATGTCAAAACAAGATTCCAACGCTAGTTAAATCGTTGGAATCGGATAATTAGTTTAGCCATAATGATTTTTTTTTATTTTTTAATTACTAAAAACTTTTACTTTTAATATCATGAATATGTCAATTGAAAATTTTTTTTTTACAAAATCCTTTAGGATTTGTGTTAGTGATGTAAAATACTATCGAAAAAATGTATCTACAATCAAAAACTAATTTTGACCTAATTCAGGTGGCCCGTTTGAGAAATTCTGACCCAAATATATTTTTGTGTTATGTGGGATATTTAATTATAAACCCATATTATAAATATTTACATCATTACTATTCTTAAATTTCTATAAAACTTAAAAAAAGTATTTATTTCAAACTAGGTAGGTAATAAGTGGTAAATTTAAAATTTGCACCATATGTATATTGTTTTTACCTTATAAGCTTTAGTAAACATATACAAAAATCCTGGTGCTCCATGGCACCATTGCACATATTTATCATTCTCACTTTTATAGGAAGATGGAAAATTACCACTGGAAAACCTAAAAAAACAATCAAAACTACCCTAAATCACACTTAAACAGATCTTTACCTTAAAGTTGCCAAATAATCAATTGTTGGTTTAATTAAACCCATTATTTCCAATTCCAATAAATATTCTGTACAATTCAGCAGCAAAAATAAAATACCAGACACACCATGTGCAGCCCCTAAATAATAACTGTTGTGCCATTCATACATCAAAGGACAATTAAATCCCTCAGACTTTGCTTTTATTTGACCAATCTTTAAAATTGCTTCCACAATCTAAACATGAAAATTACTAAGTTGTCAAAATTATGTAATAAAATTCTTACACTTCTTATCAGACCTCCTTCAAAAGGAGGTGGGTTTACATTTTTGTTAACAAACAGCAAAGCATATAAATAACCAGATCTACCATACATGTACTCACTTGGAAAATCCGAGCTAATATCTAAAGCTGCATCTTTCATATTTTTTAACCTTGATGTAAACAAAAAAAGAGGTTCCTTGTAAAAGGGTTTATAGTTTAAAACAAAAATCAAATCTTAACCCCAAAAACTAAATCCTGGGTACAGGCTTGAATTAAACAATTTTTTATTATACTTACTGCTCTATAAGACTTTGTGCTTCTTTTTCATTCCCCAACTTCTTGTTTACAATAATACCAAGGGCTAAGGGACCACCATCGCCACATAAAAATGTTTGTCTTTTGTTTCTCAATGACTTTAGGTTTAGTAAATGTAAAATTTCCTATCAAGGATAGATTTTAAGGGTGCAATTTAAAGCAAAATAGTGGTAGTTACTTGTAAAACTTCTGGATTATTTGGATCCTTTAGATATTTCAATAAAGCTATGCCACCTGTACCAGTATACATTGTAACATCTTTCCTGTCTGCTTTTTCTAGAGTTTCCATTGTAATTTGCCATTTTTCCGGCAGTAAGGTTACTATACTAATGTTTGGTTTTAGCTTAAATGGAAAATATAATTTTGATAAAATTTAACAGTTAAATGTTGATTTAAATTGACTTACCCTTTTATCGAGTATAAATTTAGTAGCAATTTCGGGTGAATAATCTGGAAAAGGGTTTTTAAAGTATTTGTTGGATCCCATTAGTGGACTTTTTAATTTAAAAAACTTTCTGACAGCCAGTTTTCAATTGACGAAAATGACGTTTACCTCCACGACATCTATGTTTCATTGTACTAAACTAATAATAATGGAGAAAACTGCAACGCTCACTGTACTCAACTGTAAATACGATATAATAAATATTACAATTATACGTAATATCATATCATATCACGTAATATCTAAAAAAAATATAAGGCCGTGGCCTCGTGTAATGCGGCTTTTAGATTGGCAAGTATTTTGTGTAATAATAATACAGAAAACTGTAATGCGAGTCCCATTATGCGACTTACGTTGGTAAACCTGTTTGTTTGATCTGTCAAACTTGACAAGGGGTGTCATTTTGCGATAAAAATATGATTAAATAAATGTTTTTTAAAATCCCCGTGTTAATTTTGCAAAATGGGTGAATCAGACGGTCCGATTTTATATGTTCTGGTAATAGGATTTCATCACAAAAAGGGTTGCCAGGTAAAATCCCGATAAGATTAGAAATTGCGTCTTGAATATTTTTTTTAAGGTTGAATTTTCTTACCCGCCCATAGTCACCGGGGCCCCAAATGAATGCCCTGTGGGTTGGAAATACTTGCCCACTTTAGCTTTACCTGATGGATCTCATAATTATGATGAAGATACAGTTTATTTTCACTTACCAAGCCTAACGAATCCAAAACAAACTGTTTATGGAATATCATGTTTTAGGCAAATACCAGTTGAAGTAAATGTTGCAAGGAATAATTGTGTTATATGTGTATTAATTGAACTATTTTTTGTTAGAAAATAAAGAACAAAACAGATGATATAACAAGAGGGACTGTACAAAAATCTGTTTGCGTTTTAAGTAGGATTCCTTTATATGGGCAAATACAAGTTAAAATGTGCCTAATAACCCATGCTTATTTTGAGGAAGGTGATTTTAGCAAAGTATCCATTCTTGAGGACACTTATCATCATTTAAACTTGGTTTTAATGCAAAATGATTTATATAATCAAACCTTTGTTGGTAAGTAGAAATAATAGTGTTAAAAAACCAGCTTTAAATTAAAAAATACACCTGGCAACCCTAATTTAAATTTAGGGGTGGTAAAATATTTTTCTGCTAATTAAAACAATGTTTTGTAGGATTATCTGCAAGAGATTTTGTTATGCAATGGAAACATAAAGCAGTATTGTTATTTAAGTTACTTTTATTAGAACGTAGAGTTATTTTCTTTAAATCTCCAGTGCATCCCTTATGTTCTACAATATTAACTTTAGTTTCCTTATTTCCTGAATTAATTGAAAAAGGGTTGAGTCAGTCTGCATCAACAAGGTAATATATTTATTATTTTTTACAAAAATCAAGAAATATTTATGTGTAGGCTTTCAAGACCCATGTCCCCCATGCCTCAGTTCTCTGATGAGGATGTAACTCCTAACGAGAGCCCTATTAAAGTAAAAAACATAAACATTCCTATAATGACTGATAATAATGAAGATGATATTAAAAAAGATGATAAAGCAAACAAAAACAAACAATTAATTGAAAATTGCAATCAAGAACTTAACGATACGATTGTAAGCACAGAACTGGGTTTAGAGCTAACTGAATCACTAAACATACCAGAAAAAGAAACCACCATTGAGAAAAATAATAGTTTACGTAGAGATTTTAGTGCAGATGCATTAAGTGATGCTGTACAAAATAATATAAACTATTTGGCTCATCTAAACATTGAATCCTGCGGGTTTCCCCTGCAAGTTTTCACCAAGGGTTGCCTATGCTTGCCATACCTATCGCTACCATACCTGGATTTGCTCACAGACGTTAATGTCAGAGGTTATTTTGTTGGAGCAACCAATGTTCTGTTCAAACAAAAAAAGCAGCTGTACGACGTTTTTGTCGATATAGAGGCTGGTAGGATAGAGTGCCAGGATTTAAATTTAAGGAAGCAGTTGCATTTGACAACTGAGGATCTCAGATTTGCCGAGTATATCGTCAAACATGTTTCTGATGAGAGGCATGATGTGTTTTTGGACGGCGTCGGTTGGGAAGGTGGGGACGAATGGATTAGGACCCAGTTTAGAATTTACTTGTTGTGTTTGATGAGAACTTCACTTTTACAAGGTAACAAATTATTTATTTTATTTTATTGTTAAAGGTGCTCTTACATTGGCTAATTATTTTTATGTGTAACTGAGATTTATAGATTTATTAGGTAAAATATACAAATTTTAAATAAAATATTCTTATGTACATACATCCATGAAAGGACAGTCACAGAAAGCTATGACATCATTGTGGGAGGGGCTAATTGAGCATCTCAATCTATTGTTGCCACATACATATTGCCCAAGCGTTTTTATATTAAACAAAACTTAGGGTTTTGTTCAATATACCCAAGAGACTTGAGTTCAATACCTACGATAAAATTAAAATAAACTTTCAACTAATTCGTGGAAAACTTAAAAGTTGTTTATATGGAGAAGAATTCAATATTATCAATCAACTGCACACAGCAATCGCATCTTCGGCAGGGGTCGAACGAATTTTTTCTTTCTTTAATCTTGCGCACAGCAAAAACGAAACAGATTGGGAACAGGAAAGTCAGCAAAACTATGGTGTTTTTGTTAAAGTGTTTGAAATTCAAACTTTGAATACTAAATAATATTTTTTTTAGAGAAAATGTAGTTTTATTTTGTTGTATATAGGTAATAGTAACAATTGTATACAACTGTTGTATTGTCGAGTTAATAAATTAGATAATTACACATTAGATATGTTATTTCAAATAATAACTTATTTGTTTATTAATTTAAGTTTTGTTCTAAGAGAAATTTAGAGTAGTTTATACTTTAAAAATATTATAAATATTGATTATTTTTAAATAAATCAAAAATATTTTGTCACTTCAATTTAAATTTAAAAAAAGGTTAAATTATACCATACTTCTTTGGCACAAAATCTATGGACCCCTTACAAATTAGGTCAAAATATATAACTCGGATTAATACAAAAAAGTACTAAAAATCAACAAAACTTTTGGGTTTTCTTAAAAAATCTGATTTTTATTCATATTACCGCACACTTTAGTTTGTTTGAATTGGGAATGTGGCAAAAATCCCTCTTCCTCCCCTTCATTAATTAATGCGCATGTACAATGCTTAGGGGACTTTCTGTGAGCATCCTTTTCAGGACAACCTTCTAGCCCTGATAATATCAGGCTGATAGTCAATTTTACTAAAAATATAATTGTTTCCCACATGTTGTCTGTCGTCTACAATGAAATACAATATATTTTCTGGCTTAAAACCATTTTTGTCCTATCAATATATCAAAGAACTAATTTTAAAGAAATTAGTAGCTAATGCACTAGTGTTTAAAATAATAATTAAAACAGCCGCCCTTAAAACCTATTGCGCAGGCTTCTGCAGGAAAAAACCCAACATGATCAGAATTTAATACTTGACCAGACAAGGTTTTGAAACCATGTAATTTTTGAATACCTTATTTTATAATATATTTTTTCTAATAATGAAAAAGTTTTCCACAGGAAGAATTTTTTTATAATAAAATTTATTAAAAAATAATTAAAATAATTCACTTATTTTTTAAATGTAAGAAAGTAAAATATATACCTTTTAATTAGGTAGATCGTTTTTATTATTTTTAGATGGGAGCAGGGAGATAGAACATTTCAATTCGAACTTTGTTTCTGCGTGGCGTGAAACCCATAATTACAAAATTTGGTTGAGTGGTATTAATCCGGGTATCCTGGATGTTCATGCAGGTCACCCCTTTGCAGGTCAATTGTCGGTGGCCGATATGAAATTAAGGCTTGCGCAGTAAGTACAATATTTTACCCATTAACCAAAAAAATCCAATAATAATATTTTTATTGTTATCCTTTACCAATTCCTACATAAAATATAGAACACTAGATGCTGCTTAAAGTTTAAAATTAAAAAATATAGAACACTCGAGGCTGCTAAAAGTTTAATATTTAATAACTTTTTAAGTCTGGACTGTTAAATGGATGTCAGGGACGTGCTCGATAGTAAATTTTTATTGCGCTTGTCCCTGACGTCTATTTGACAGTCCAAATGCTCGGTAGGAACACACCTAATATCTATTTTAATTTTAAGTACTATGCAAAACACAGAAAGTGGGAGGAAAATCAATCAAGCAATGGCATCAACTGGTAGGGCAGTTGCTACTACCAGCAAAGCTGTGGGTAAGAATTTTTAATTGAAATTTAAAATTTGGAGTTTTTTTTATCTTTTCTATAGTAATTATTAACTGTGTTCTTTTAAACATTGTTCACTTATTCGGAATTAAATTTTAAAGGCAAATAATTCAAGAAATCCTCTCATTATATTTTAGGTGGCGCCATATCTCAAGCAAAAGGCGCATTTTCGAGCTGGTGGAGCAACCTGATGGTGAACCCCGATCAGAACGGCAAACCCGAAAACGAAACCGACCCTTCGGAAATACCGAGCGCCAAAGAGGCCGGCGAGCTGACGACGTACGTCGCTAGCGATTCGACCTCGCCGAAAGAGGTCGCCACCGTGAACGGCGACCTGACAACGCAACACAACGACAATCAGTCGGAATACTCGAAATCGCACGAAGAAGGTGAAGTACACACCGTATGAAATTAAACGGCAGGCGTCAAATAGTTTTAGTTTATAAACTAAAACTATACGGTTATAACCGATATTTTTACTTTTTTAGTGGGTGTACAAGAACTTTGTTAGTTGGTATAAAGTGTTGCATTTTGGAAGTTGCGATGCGATGGTTTAATTTATTAATCACTTTTTTGTGCAACTAGTACAAATTAAGTTAATATTTTTTTGTTGTCAAGATACCTACAACACTGGACAAACATGAGGTTTTATAAAAAAACCTGACTGATTATTATTAATAATAATTACTTATGTGATTTAGTTATATTTTATTTATCAGTATTGTGTGCAATTTCCTTTTACGTGCCGTTTTTTGATGGAACAACTTGTTCTTCATCCAGCGCCCTCTGTAGTCCCAAAATAGACAACAAGGTATTTCCACGGGAAACACTACTTTACGTCCCACCCATCACAATCAAAAAACTATTTTAGTTTCTTATAGCTTTTAAAAAGGGCTTTAAGACTAAAATGTTTTTAAATTTAATTCAAAAGCCTTGTTGTTCCTTTTGGGACAAGCATTTTCCATTAATACCATTATTAATTGTATGTACTATGCTACACACAGGCCTGTAGCCAGCCTGACATTTTAGGGGGGCTCAGGGAATTTTAAGGGAAACTTAAAATTGTTAATTTTTAAATAGGTATATAAAAATAATTTTTAAATAGGTATTTAAAAGTAGTAAAAACATGTTAGTTTTGTTACAAGTAAAGAAATAAAAATCTCCCGTAAATTTAAGGTCTAGTAAAATGTGAATACACAGAGAAAATAAAACAGTAGCCATTAATGCGCAGAACAGTAATGAATAAAGTATGGGAAACAACATTTAATGCGCAGAATATTGCTCACTATAATGCCCTACTATGAAGAAAGGCAGTACCTAACTACAAAAAAATTCTAAATGCGTTTTCTTGTGCTATGATAAAGCTATGGACATTTTGTATCTTAATTCAACAAAGAAATGCAGTAAACATAAGTTAAATAAATCAATAAAATACCTACTGCTTTTTATAAAAATGTAGTTTATGCTAATTTTTCACAAATTACTTGTTTAGCAGTTACTGCCTTTCTCCATAGTTGGGCAGTATAATAGTTCCTGGCACTCATTGATGTCACCAGTGGCGTAGGCAGAGGGTTTGGGGGGATTGACCCCCCCCCCCAAAGTTTAAGTTTAAGATCTTAATAGTTTCATTTTACAGTAAAATTTTTACTCTTATATTTTATTATTTATTTCCCTCCCCCCTAAAATAAGGTTTTATTAGAAATTGTATGATTTTAAAGAGTATATTGACCTTGGCGTTGGGGTTCACATTGTATATTGAAATTTTCTTTAGGGGGGCTTGGCCCCCTGGCTACGGGCCTGGCTACACATCAAAAACACCCACTTTCACATTTGAATAAGGAATGCAGTCAAATAATCAAGGTTATGTATCTGTCACTTCAATTATTTGATCGCATAAACATGTCAAAGTGAAACTTTTTGATTTGAAGCATAGTAAGTACATGTGTTTTTTATAAACTTCGTAATTAATAAATGCTAATTTACCACAAACCTTGGACAATTAAAGACAATGGACGACAGGCGTAGTGAAGTGTGCCGAATTTGAACCAAAAAATGGCGTCGATTCGAGGTGTTACCAAGTTTGTTTTGTGTGTTATTGCGTGAAAAGAAATTGATAAAACAGCACGATGTCTTTACCATTTGACGTTTCCCCTTCGACATTACCTACAAATTCGCTTAAATTATTTTCTCTACGACTACTTAAGAATAGTAACATTCTAGTGTAATTTTTGATCATAGAAAGGATGTTTTTCTGCAATACTGTGCGAGAATATTCCTACTCTTGTTTAAGAATGGTCACAAGTAACGACATCTCCTGACTGTTTACTAAACGTAAAAAATTTAAAAATATTTAAATATTACTGTATTAATTATTAATTAAAAAATAATAGCAGTTGTATAATTAAGGTTTAGGCACAAATAATTAGTTTTATTTATTATTTTTCAAATATACAAATCAAAATTATAATAAATTTGATATTAAAATGATAAACCAGTTACCAGTTTTGACAGATTCAAAAAGTTAAAAAAAAGACCTTTAAAATGTAGAAAAAGAATAGATGTTGACATAGATTACTTGTAAAATTAGTTTTGTATTTGTTACAATGTTATTTTTTTTATTAGTTAGTGTAAATAACTATTTTTAATTATAATAAAGATTTAGGCATACCATTTGTTTAAATTTATTATAATTTACATTATAAAATTGTGACGGCACAAAATGGTTTGACAATACAAAAAACTTAAATGTCAAAAACTGCTTGGTTTCTTTTCTCTGTTTAAAATTATATAAGCGTTACTATTCTTACGTAGTCGTAGAGAAAATAATGTCTGAAACACGTTTGGAATAGCATATTCCACTCTCGTAAAACCGTCACACTCGCCTTCGGCTCGTGTGTCAAATTTTTCCTCGAGCGGAATATGCTGTATTCCAAACTTGTTACAGAATGTACTATTCTTCAATGCCATTTTTTGGTTTACATTTAGCACATTTTCAACGTTTTGATTACGTCTGCCCTCTCTTCTTTACTCAAAGCCTCAAATTATAATATATTCTATTTTGCAAAACAAAACTTTTAAAGTTGTTAACACTAATATGGTAGTTTAGTACAATTACAATGTATTTTATAATCACTTCATTACACTCCATTTAGATTTAATTTTTTGTTGAACAACATTATTAGAAACTAATAATATAAACACCACAATAATCTTTTAACTGATTATTTTTTTACAATAGTCTTGTACAAAGCCTTTGCCTTAATATAGGCAACCAAACAAAATTTTCAATTTGGGTTTAACACTGAAACAGTATTTTTTTAACAATACATAAAAATACACAGGGATAGACAAATAGTTGAAAAAAATAAATAAATGTTTTAAAAAAAATGATCAAAAACCCCAAAAAATTCTATTTGTTCCCTTAATTTGTCATTTTTGCATAAAGGGGGTAGTTGTTCTTGGTCAGTACTGCCATCTAACGGTCAATTACAAAAGTACATTGTGCCAAATTGTTCAAAATGTAACTTGTTAAACCCCCTCCCCTTTTTATACCTTTATCCTATAGTCACGGCCAAATCTATATGGGTGCACGTCATCAATGAGATATAATGACGTCAGCATTACCAACTTTGAATTGTAAAGTTACTGCCGTTAAATTTGCTTTTTTAAGGCGTAATTCTGATATGTTATTAAAAAGAAATCATTCATTTGCGTATTGTTTACCAAGAACTGTAACAATTTCCTTGTTTTAAAACGTTTTTTTCACGAAATTATCAAAATAAAACCATTCACTTAGTAATTTTTGTGTGTGCCAGTTGGTAATATCTTAAGGCTGGCGCGCACCGTTCAATATTATTGATGGGTCGCTGTCATTTTATATTTGACGTATTTTTGTAATTGTGACATTTCGTCCGGAAGCATCGTTTGTTGCAAATTATTATAAATAATATTATACATTATGTTTATAAGATTCTATCCCTGGATTGAGCAAACAATGATATAAGGCTTGTTGGCAACTAGCCGTTATTAGATTTCGAAGACATTGCGCCCTTAAGGGGGGGGTAAGGTATTAAAATTTTTTTTTTTTCGATTTTTTTTTTATTTTTCTAATCGAATGCATAATATCTCAAGAAGATTGTGTTAAAATTTCAAGTCGATCGGGGCAAAATTGACGAAGTTATGAGTATTTCAGCGTCCGTTGCCAGCCTGAGGTTTTATACCTGAGCGACAGCTGCGCGACGGCCGGACGCTGACTCATCCGGCCCAAACAGGCCTGTTCAGGTAAAGTCGAGTATATTCTGCTCTAGATCATCTTGATGGAAGCCTTTTGCTCTACGGACCTGGCATCGACGACTCTGTGTGAGTATAAAAAAATTGTCAAATTTTATCTTGAATACTTCAGTACGCAAAACTTTAAAGCGTTTTTCTGAGACTTGTCATTTTTGAAGTCCGTGCCCACCATAACTAAAAATCTACTGGACCAATCGTTTTGAAATTTTGCACAGTGTTTCTTCACATAATTCCCCAGGTATTGTCGAGAGCTTTTTTTTTTTTTTCAATAATTATCAATTTTACAACAGCAAATTAGCCGTTTTTTTTTAGCGAAAATCTGGTTTTTGGCTTCCAAGTGCTACGAAAAATCGAAAAATCGAAAAAAAAAAAATCCTCTCGTGAATACCTCGACAAACATCTCCTTTAACGAATGCATTTTGATTTTTTTGTTTCTGATGATTTGGCTGCGAGTTATGATGGGCACCGCAAAACAACTTTTTCTCGAGGCGCCTCCGGAGATTCACTGTCACTCGCTCAATTTTTGATATTTTGCAATGAAAATTTAGGAGAATATTGTTCTAATGTTACATTATCATGTATGGATCGACTGAATAAACTAACACCATCTGTATTGCCAAAAAAAAATCTTGAAAACATGCCTTTTTTTTACCGAATTAACCTTACCCCCCCCTTAATAATAAATTTGGGGAAATAATCAGACTTCAATTTTGACCTGGTTTGCTCTGATGACAAGGACGACTGGTAATTTATTATTTTTGTGTTTCTGATAATTTAGTATTTTTTTGTTATGTGCATATGTAATAAAAATGTAATAAACTCCGTTTGTTTTCTCTTTAAACACATTTAATAAAAATTTGCCTGTAACAAACTCCTAATTAGTTAGTGCAGAAGATTATAACAAGGACGTTATAATTCCATCTTAATAACAGCCCCCACCGCTATAAACAGTCAACAATACACGAGCGTTAGATTGTGTCTGGGCACGTATGAATAGACCTTAACGCTGACGTCATATGCCGTTGATGACGTGCACCCATACAGATTTGGCCGCGACTATATATATTTTTAATATTTTCCTTATTTGAACACTAAAGTAGATCATACTGTATATAATCATTTATTCTAAGCCACAAAATATATTATAGTACTAGCTAGTAT